TTCGGATTTTCAGAACAAACAAATTTTAAAGCTAAAATAGAATTAGCTTTGAATTTACTATTAATGTATTAAAAATATTAATTATTTTAAAAAAATGGCTCAATATTTATCTAACACACTTTAAAATAAATATATACCATTTTTTTGTAAGAAATATATTTAATCTAAATATGCAAATATCTATTTTAAAAATAAAATATATTTACGCAAGTGAAAATACTTTCTTTTTAAAATTTGCACTCACACTAATTTCAAGCAAAATACATACATACAAAATATACACGGATACATGATAAATGATGTGTAATCATTTTTAAAAATTCCCCTCCCTCAAATGGTGACTGAATCTGTCTCTGAATCTGTCATCCCCTGTCCCTGAAGCATTAGGTAGTTGGTTTTTATTTCAATTTTCTGACATCATGTGAAATTCCAAATGGGTATATCACCTCCAATCCTCCATCCATCTATCGATTCTGTTTATTGTTAGCTGGCTGCTGCTGCTGCTGGATCAAAGCTTGGGAATGAGCATAAAGTGAATTGCATTTGGCTCTGACTCTCTACTCTCCACTCAGACTGTGTCTCTGTGGTGACAATTCCCATTCCCTTTCGTGATATGAAACCGGTGTTGAAAGGGCCCTCTTTCCCATAAATGAGGGATATTACCCTGTAATTAATATTAATGCTTGAAACAAGTAAGCGAAAAAACGCTCTATTGGTAGCAGCTTTGCGGAGTAATATTCAAAATTTTTTAGCAGCAGCATTCCGCTCTGTCTAGTGGGGTAGAACTGGGAAATATTAAATTCGATTTACTGAAGAAACTTTTTTAATTCAAGCTTTAAATATTTTTAAAACTTCAATAATTAAAATCACGGATTTTTCAAGAAACATATTGATTATGGTTTAATCGTTCAACAGAAAATCCGCATTTCTCGCGGCGAGTCCCTCGTTGAGGCTAGGACATACTTATTTGGATGTCATTCCCTTTAAAAAATAGTAGTTTACAAGTACAGCAAGTACTCTGTGTTGTGTAGAGAGGGAGAAAGGCAATTAGAAAATATAGGTAGAGGTAGGGGAGAGGAATGTAGGTGTAGAGGAGAAATGAAAAATGAAATCTTCTTGAGGCGTTTCGAGGCTTAATTAACTATGGAATTAACATGTGTTGTGTGTGTGTGTGTTCCAAGTGGCGGCTTCTGCCACCAATTGCTGCTGCAATCAATTCAAAATCGGAGTGGAAACGGCGTGGAGTCGGAGTCCGGGGCAAGGCGCTTACTCAGCGTAAAAGCACAACACGAGATTCATTCATGGAAAGCAGCCAAAAAGGAAACATCAACGAAACGCCAGCACCAGCAGCACCACAAAGTGGAGGAAAATGGCAAGTCAGCAAGCCAAGTGGCTTTTCATTTGATATTTTCATGGGTTTTCTTCATGGGTTTTTTTTTTTGTATAAGCCAAGACAAGAAAACGTCTCCAAATCCAAAAAATGAATTGAAATACAAGAAATGACGATTGAAGAAACGAAACGAAAAAAAAAAAAACAGACAGACAGACAGAAAATACAATGAAAGATACAATATATGCAATGCATTCAATACATATGTTTATACATATGTACATATATGTTTATATGAAGAAGGGTTTTCTCTTTTTTTTGTATCGACAATCCACGATCCACGATCCGCGATCCACTGGGAGCCACAGTCGAAGGCAAAGCCAAAAGTCAGAGACGAGGCCAAAACGCAGTTTCATCAAATTGGGTTTTGGGTGCTCCGTGCTCCGGGGATTCCAATGCGCGAGTCCCCCAAATCCCCCCTCTCCCGTCGCTACCCCTACGCCACTCCTCAAACTCTAAGAAAAACAAGAAAAGAAAGAAAATACCAGGCCCATAACAGGGGATCGCTACGAATAGATAGATACCCTCCTAAACTATGAAAAAAAAGCATATTCGGGGAAACATCGATTCCCATAAATGAAATATATACATATACTTCTTAGCACTCGCCATGGGGGATACTATGAAATATACATAAAATATCAATCTTACTTTTAAAATAATTGATTTAAATGCCATTAAATTAATCAAATTTATATGACAAAGCCCAATAGGAATGTTTTCCATTGAGAAACAAGTGCCGCAAATTCAAGATACATTTCGTGTGTGTGTATATATTTGACAGGAGGGAGTATAAACTATATATATATATATATTTAAAATGAGTAAATAAATATTTTTTGTGGTTTTTTGGGCTGTCTTTCAGTTCCCTTTTGCGTGTTTATGTGGTGAGATAACAGTAGAATGGCTCTCTTTAATATTATATCTTTTACTATCACTAGGTATCCCAAAACCAAAGGATAAAATATACTGTTAAAAGACAACAAAACAACAAACCCCGTACTGCCCCCATTGTGTTCGAGTGGGCCAGCCTTTCTGCCTTAGCTAAAATACCCTCTCTTCAAGGAGTATGCAACACAACAAAACAACAAATGCGATGGAAGAAACAGAGAAACACATCAACTTAGGGCCGCCGAACCGAGAGCCAGAGCCAAAAGCAAAAACCGGGCAACCAGCCGCATACCAATTTTGAGTCGTCGTTGTCTCGAAAACGTGAATCGAGTGAAAACTCAACTCGAAAACCCGTTTTGGGCCACAGCGAGAGGGGCAGCCACAGCTCTTTGGATCGCCAGAAGTGGGGGGAGGGGGAATTGGATAGGATGGAATGGATACAAAAGATACAAAATCCAAAGCCAAAGCCAACGCCAAATGGTGGCTTTGCCTTTGGCTTAAGACAAAACAAAAATACCAGAGAGAGAGAGAAAGATAGAGACACATGGGGCATGAGGCAGGTATCGAGTACACAGATAACGAATGAAGGAAGAATGAAGACGGGATTCCAAAAGTGCTTGAACTTTGTTGCAGCAGCAACAGGATCGGGATCTGTTTTAGGGATCTGCAATTAATGAAAATAATGAAAGATTGGATGATCTATTGGGTCTCGTTTCTTCTTTTCTCCCATTTTTCGGATCATTTTGTGCACTTCCTTTCAAAAATCATCAGAATAAGATAATTTCATCTCAAAACATCTCAAGACATACATACATATTTTATCTTTAAGTTATTTGCAGATAATTATTAGTAGTAATGTTTTGTGTAGAAGTGTGTGTATGGACTACGATATAGTTCAGATCTATTGGGCCCTTCAATAGATGGCAGGAATGCAATGATCTTTTCACTTCTCCAATCCTCAGCGTGTATCCTCCATGCCCCATCCAGTGCCTGTCTACATGCCTTTCCTGTTTTGCTTTTATCTTGATGTTGAGGGACGTACATATGTATGTATGTATGTACATATATGTACACATATATTCATAGACACTTCTACAATGCTCTGCGTCTATCATTCCCCATACAAAAAACATTTCAATGCTCCCAAGGGATGATGCACTTGTCAGAAGTAGCAGGAGGATAGAATGGTTTCCTGTTCGCTTGCTTCAGGTAGAAGGGCAATAAGCAGAGGAGTAGGAGCTCCAATTACCTGCTGCTCTTGCATTTCGGGCCACTTCAAAGGTTCAAATCTAAATCGATTAAGGGCGGAAACCCCAGACAGCGAGGTCAAAAGGTAAATGAAATATGAAAATTCCCATCGTTCTCTCCCGATTAATTCTAATGGCTTTATTATACATGCTCTCTCTCTCAGCACAGAGCGGGGGGATGGGGATCCAGTAAGAGCTATATCTTTAGCAGAAAAATGATTATCCATCAGATCTCAAGCGGCGGCGCCAAAACTTTCGGTGGAGACGACAACGACAGTGGGATCTTCACAGTCAGAAACGTGCAAATATTTTCAGCACACACTTTGGACGACACTCCAAAGTGTGTTTGAACTTGTTTTGGAATGCGAATGGTATGCACGATCAGGCCTCACACTCTCTCTCTCTCTCTCTCTGCAGCTCTCCTTCTAATATTCTCTCTGTCTCTGTTTCTGCCTCTTTCTTAGTCGACAATTGCACCTACAAACAGCGCAGCGGCAGTGGCCGTTAATTGTTGCCTGCGTGTGCGTGTCCGTGCATGTACGAACATGCAAAATGGTAAATGAGGGGGGGGAGGGTGTTGGCTCTGTCGTGGCTTCTTCTTCTTTCTTTTATTTCCCATTCATCGTTGCGCTGCTGCTGCTGCTTCTGCCGCCCGGGGAGTCTCGTCTTCAGAGCCCGTCGCGTTTGGCTTGGCTAAGCGCTCGCGTAGAAAGTTTTAACGTTAAAGTAGCGGCCGTTGCCCACCGTCCCGTCCTCTCCCCACCACCTGCACACACTCCCCTACCCATGCTCCCTCTCTCCCTACCCCTCCCCCTGCCTGCTGACGGGTGTTTGCTGTTGTTGTTGTTGGTCTGTTTGCTTTCGACCTTTCTTCTTTGCTCACTCTCCGCCATGCCCTTATTTTCTTTTGGCTGAAGCGACTGTTACTGTTACCCACCGTTTGCTGCTACCTCTGTCGCTGCCCGCTGCCTCCGCTTCTGATTTTGCCTTCCCTCTTTTCTTTGCCATGCCACAGTGGGCCACACACACACACACACAGTTGTTTGTGTGCTATACAAATACGAGTATGTATACCCGAAAATTGTTGGATTATTAAGATATTGATATGCTTCTTGGAATAGATGGAGATTATCAGCAGATTTCTGAGATCACATTTTTTGGTTGTCAATTGCACTCCCACCCACTGTAACCGATGTAGTCTTAGTCTTTGAATTCGGCAAAAGAGAACGAACGCTTGGCCGCTTAGTTTCGGCCTTCCACTCGAATGGAGATTAGCAGTACATTTTGTATGTACTTTTTTTCATACACTTCACCCACTGTAACGGAGCCCGAGGCTCGCCTTCGGCTTCTTCGGCAGAAGATAGTAAGAGATGCGCCGTTTTGGGTAAATCTTAGACCCCCCCGCCCATGTACATAGATCTGTGCTAGGGGGAATGGTTGGGGGGCGTTTTCGTGTTGCTGGTGGTACTAACCTGTATCTGATTGCGCCAGACATCGTAGTGCAGCCAGTTGTCCGTGGAGAAGGCAATGGCCAGCAGAGCGGTGGCGATGATCGCACAGATCGTCGCTATCGACAGTGTTACCGCCGAGCAGGGCATTCTGGATGCGTTGCGATTTTTTACTCGCTAGATTACTGGATGCTGCTACCTTGATTTTCCAAACCGAAAAACCAATCAAATAAACCGAGAGACGAACAAAAATACAACTGTTGTTCGCTTCTTCTTATTCTGCTTTGCGTTCTTCTCCTGCTACTTCTTTTCACAGCTAGATTCTGCTTCTTTTTTTGTGCTGCCAGCAACCAGTTTTGCAGCGGCAGCGACGACACAGAAAAAAAATGTTCGAAAAAAAATATTAATTTAGCAACGGGGCAGCAGGTAACACACTCGCGCAGGTTACAGGTACACGCGCACACACAGACACACTGGTTAACACTCGCGCCGGAAACAAGTTAGCTAAGTTAACCCAGGCACGATCTTTGTTGTTTCGTTGATCGCGACAGTTTTGTTAATGTTCCCGAGCGGGGTTTTGGGTTTTGGCCGTTTTCAAATACGCGCGCCTTCAAATGTATCTAGGGCCTGAAAATGTTGTCCGGCAACAAACGTGTGTTGCTGAGAAACAAGAAAAAAGGTATGCACATCAGGCAAAACGCCCAGAAAATGCAACGCATGCAAGGTAAAACACTGCTGCATAGCATATTGTTGATCAAACACGGTAAGGTGTGGTTCGTAGGTGCCTTGGAATGTTGCTGGACCGATTTTGCTCATGGTCCATACCCTACCACTCATTTTTGCATGTCTCTTCCCTACTCAGCATCTTTAATGTTGCCGAGCTGCACCAAAATGTTGCCGGATACAAATACAAACAACACAAGCAACGAACGTGGTTTTTGATTACCCCTTGCAGAGGGTATGATTATTTCGACCAGATGTTTGCACTGCAGACATAAATTTATGTATGTATGTACATACATATTGTGAGAAAAATATTCTTAAATTTGAAGATATATAATCCTATATGTATATTGTTACACATTGCAGAAATAAATCGAATGACTTTAAAGAAAATACATCAAGGGTATCAAATGTTTCAGTCGCCGTGGATTGCATTCTCTCCTTGTTATCGCTGTACATCATACATGCACATGCATGCATGTGTTCGTGGACAGGAAGGCATGATGATAGAACAGATTGCACCCCACTCGTACTTCTGTTAAATAAATCAGTAAATACTTTATTGTTAAGGTAAATGATATTACTTGATTGATATTTCTGTGAAATGTCAGTCTTATGGCAGTGGGAATGGATGTGACTGTCGTACACTGGAGGAAAAACAAGGGTATCAATAACACGAAACAATTTGCAGTAATGTGTGTGTGGCAAAACAGCTGTAGAATTGATTGCTTTTGAGTCACTTTTCAATTTAACAATTATTTGCCATATGCAAAAATATACTCGTATATCCCCGTAATTATGAACATATGCTCATACATACATACATACATATGTACGGCAATGTGAAGTTTTTCTCCACAGATTTCTCAGGAAAAAAGAAATCGAAACAGATTTAGGGAACTATTTAAATATGAAGATAGAATGGAAATATTCTGTAAAGTTCCCGTTCCCCCATTGTAGGCTCCCCCATTGTAGGCTTTCCAAAAAGCTATCACTTGTTCTATTTGGAAAACTAGAAGTGTCTCAAAAATAAGTTTGAAAGAAGTGAGGTGCGCGTGCGCCACTACTACATATGTATATCATTGAACACAACTGTATACATAGCATAGCATGCATTTTTCATTCTTCCTACTTTAAAGTAAAATAATTTAGCATCCATCATTTTGGCTGATGTTCAATTCGTTCAGCTTAATGCTATTATAAAGGCAGTTTTTAATCCCGAGCCCGCTGTTAATCAGGGAAAATTTCGCTCAGTGCAGAGCCAAAGATGCTGCGTCTCTGCGCTGGCGCAGGTAAGCAGAAAAAATGTTCATGTGTTGGTGCATGTGCATGTGTGTGTGTGTATTGGCTTTTGTTGCTGCGTTTTGTCTATTTTTGGTTGGGTTTTTCTCAATTGCATTTTTGGGCGCGCTCTCGACTGCTGTAGAAATATGTATGTATGTACATATGTCTGTTTGTTTGTTTGTATTGTCTATGTAATCGGATCGGAATGGTATGGCAAGGAGGCCATCTCAATTGCTGGTCAAAATCTCGAGTGTAGGATTTATAAACAAGTGGGGCAAGATAGTTGGAGAGGGAAAATGCACAAATGCATCATAAAACACATATATCAAAGTACTCCCTAGTACATACATACATAAATATGTATCTGATCGGCATGTTAACAGCAAAGTATCCCTTACCCTCGGCTGAACATACCTTGCTCCTAGTGTCAGTCTGGCTTAGTTGCTCCCCCCGCCTCCTCTACGGTCTTTTGTCCGTCTCCGTTTGTCCATATTTTGTTTTCTTTTCCTTGCATTCCACAGTTGCTGCACTGCTGGCTGGCCTTTTGGCGTCTGGCTGGGCTGCCACTTTTCGGTTAGTGGGGCAGGCGGTGGGTGGGGGGAGGGGGGGGGGAGCATGTGGGCATGGCGTTAATCATTATGCATTCAGCATGGTATTCAATTCAAATTTTAGCACAAATTATTAAATATTTGACAACGGCAATGAAAGTGAGAGCGACGCAACAGCAAGTGGAAAGCAGCAGTGACAATGCTTCCGCTGTCGCTGCCACTGCTGCAGAATTGCTAATTTATGCGATTTATTGGAAGGGTAATCGACGCCGACGGCGGCTACTTGCGTTGTTTGCCCTGAAATTTTGTTTAATAACTCTGGTGAGCCCATGGCAGGGTATGGACAGGGTAGGTGGATGGGGCACAGCCGAGCAAACAAGACAAAACGTGTTCGTCGTAGTGAAAGTAACAGGTGATGACCGCAACGGTCAAAAGCCGAAAACGGCTGCTACATCCCAGCGCCGAGAGACCTTTTGGCCGGAAAGAGCGTGTGAAAGAGAGAGTGCATGACTACCAACAGAAGAATCTAAAGATCCGTACCTAATTGATATGATTGAGCTAAGCTTTATTTTAATTTGTAACTTGCGTTCAAACTTGCCCGCGTTTTTGGCATGCAAAGAGTAGAGTTTTCCAAGAACGAAAGGAATACTCTTCTCACCAATATCACATGACTCTTCATTAACAGGGACAAGGACCTCACCCTTGAAATTGCCTGAGATCTGGAGGATCAAATCCTAAGCCTATTCCCAAGTGAAAATCAAAATTAGTACAGTATTAATAAATTAATTAAAAAAGTTGCCAACAGTTAGTTCGTAAGGGTCTCTGTCGAAATGTACATAAATATGTAGATAATAGTTGCAAATGTGTAGTTAGCGTGTAGTTACCATGTAAAACATTGACTTTGCCATAAAAATACCATTTTAAAATGACCGCCAACATTTGCTTTCTTTTTCGAGGTGAAGAGAGCGAAAAGGAATATTTTAGCGCAAAAAAAATACCGAATTTGAGATTTAAAAACCGAGGGTGCTCAACTTTTGAAATAGAGGGGTGTTAAGTGGGTTAAGTCTCGGATGGTCGCCAGTTTTTTTATGGTATGGTATTTAAATGGTATTTCTCGAAACTGAAATGGTATTTAATGGTATTTATTTTTTGCCCGGTTGGTATTTTTGATCGTATCGTCACGGTCACGCTGCTTCCTAGTGCTGTCAAACGATTGATAGTTGAGCCATCGATAGTTTTAAATGCTTAGAAAAAAAAACAATCGATATTATCGTGATTGTTATTATTATAATATTATAAAAATGATAATTATTACTAAAAAATGCTATTAAACTCTTTTTTTTAAGGCGAAATAATACAACGATTTTTTAATATTAAAAAGTTTATTCAAACTTTCAAAATATCAGACTCAAAATAATATAAACCATTTCAAAATTATTTTTTTTATCCTTATTTACTAAGTTACCAAGTGTTGTAATCGGTAATCCAACAATTTTTGTTTCCGCATTGTTGGTCTGCCAAACTGCTCACGTTCTTCTTGGACCTCAATGTCTTCTTTTCCTTGCTGATGTCTATCATGATAGTATCGGGCTAAAAAAATTATTAATTATTAATTTTTTTTTTTTTATTACTGGTTACTGGTCAAATCATGTTATTTTTCCAAATATTAAGACACTTTTCAAATTTTTCGCTCTCAATTCGTGGAGAGTTTGCAAAACTCGCTCTCAATTCGTGGAGAGTTTTCAAAATTTGCTCTCAATTCGTGGAGAGTGCTCTCTTTTCAGTGGAGAATAGAGTGTTTTTGTGGAGACTTTCCCCTCATTTTCGTGGTGTGGCAGCATGTTGCTGAAATTTTTCCCATACAAAATCAAATGTATCTTACGGGAACGCGTATGGAATAAAGATTCATTGTTGCGTCATGCCAATCTTGTAGAAAATGTATGTATCTATCGAATAAAATTATTTGTTTAGGGCTGAGTGGCCCAGCTAGCTATTAATATTAAACGGAATATCAAAATCAAAAAAATACCAATCCAAACATATCAAAAGCGCAACGACTGTAGCTCGATACTATCATGATAGTCGCAAAACCGTCGATAGTAGAGACTAGCAGTAAAATATCGATACTATCGATAGTGCCCTCGACGGTTTGACAGTTCTATAAAGTTCTTTTCCGGTTTCGTTCCCAAACAAGGAGGTACGGTGCTGATATTCGCCTCAATTTAATATATAAACATCGCCGGCATGTAAATAGTTTGTTTCGTAAAACGCGCAAAATAGCCAAGCGAATGAATTGCGTTAACCATTGAGCACAAAATATCACAAAGTACTCAATTGCATTGGTCAAAAATTCGCTGGCGAAACTTGTGTTTTATTTTTTTTCTGTGCATTTCTATTTTTTGTTGGTTTAAGTGTTTGTGTCTTTACTAATGTTTGTATTTGCTATATCTTGCAGATATTGAACAATGGGCCGCTACTCCCGTGAGTCAGACAACGTTACCAAGTCGTGCAAGGCGCGCGGACCCAATCTACGTGTGCATTTCAAGGTGAGCCATACCCCAAGACGCCGCTCCTGCCCATTGTTGTTATTGTCGAGAGACAGAAGTGTGGTTATGTATATATATATATATGTAGATATGGCAACTTAAATCAGTGAATGCCTGCCCGCAAGCAGCATCTCGCTTTTGCAGTGTTGCTAGAGTAATCTTCTGGACAAGTTCATCAGCTGAGCGCAGTCTCCATCCATGACGCGCTCTTCTAAAACCTTGTCCACATCTCTTGAATTCATCAGTACGCTGGCATCATCTATCTACTGACGGTTGTGCCTCCGATGCACAACATGCAGCTCAGGCACATCTGTTTCGATCCGTGGGTGCCCATATCAAACTCTAGCCTGCCTGAAAAAGGCGGTATCGAAAGAAGATGAAGCGAGTCGCTGAAAAAGTCTCGGCACAGTGTCTGAATCCAATAATGTGACTTCCCTGGTGGGCATAACGACTACATACAGTGGCCACATACATGTGACCATCCAAATAGTTGTGCCCAAAGCAAAATCCAACCATTGCTAAAACAGCGGCGTGCTGGCCCTCAATGCTCGCGTCTCTACCTGAACTCTGGCACAATGCCTCTCTTGGCTGCAGGAATGACTGAGCAGCACCTGGAACCTTGTCTTCTGTGGAGCTCTGCAGTCACTCTCTTTCTGAGCCCACTTTACTGACTCCTGGCGGGCACAACGACTACATAAAGTGGTTGCCACACATGTGACCATCCAAATAGTTGTGCCCAAAGTAAAATCCAACCATTGCTAAAACAGCGGCGTGCTGGCCCTCAATGCTCGCGTCTCTACCTGAACTCTGGCACAACCCCCACCTTTTAACTAGAAGAATTTGGTTCAAGGCTAGCTGTTAGCTTTGAAAGTGTTTTAATCATACTAATGCCGTAATTTTTGTCCACAGAATACACATGAGACTGCTCAGGCCATCAAGCGCATGCCCCTGCGCCGTGCCCAGCGTTTCCTGAAGGCTGTGATCGACCAGAAGGAGTGTGTGCCCTTCCGTCGTTTCAATGGCGGCGTTGGACGTTGCGCCCAGGCCAAGCAGTGGAAGACCACACAGGGTCGCTGGCCCAAGAAGTCTGCGGAATTCCTGCTGCAGTTGCTGCGCAACGCTGAGGCCAATGCTGACTGCAAGGGACTCGATGCCGATCGCATGGTTGTCCACCACATCCAGGTGAACCGCGCCCAGTGCCTGCGTCGCCGCACATACCGTGCCCATGGTCGCATCAATCCCTACATGTCATCGCCGTGCCACGTCGAGGTCATTCTTACCGAGAAGGAGGAGGTCGTCTCGAAGGCCACCGACGATGAGCCCGCAAAGAAGAAGCTCTCCAAGAAGAAGCTGCAGCGTCAGAAGGAGAAGATGTTGCGTTCTGAATAAAATGTGTTCTGGGCCAGCCGCCCAAGCCGGTGTCAACAAATGAAAACAATTCATTTTTTTTTTTATTAATATAACTTAATGAAAGTTAAATGTGCGACCGTGTGTGTATATTAATGTTGTCGAGGATGTGGCCGGTGCGATGAGGACGATGATATATAAAACAACGCAAGCGCCTGACGTGCTAAATTGGAAATGTGATGCGTTTGGCTTTTACCTCAACCTTTTTTTTTTTTTTTTTCTTTCTGCTAGGTTAGGACAGCGTGGTAACGCAATAAAGTAAACATTTTTGTACTACATAACTTGGACTCGAAATGTAGGGATCGATCCCCAGATGGGTTTAGTTTACGTTTAGCTGTGCTGCTAGGTTAAATATATGCATGTGTTGAAATGTGGCCGCATGTTTGGAGGCCGTTTTTGTTGTCAGACATGAGCTGGCTGCCGTTGTGTTTTGTGGTGTATTGAAGTCTGCTGGAATAAGACCATAATATAAGCGATTTCTAAAGAAATATTTGATAAATGGACCCACATGTTTCGAAATTTGAATGGCGCAGTGCGCGGACGTTCCTTCTATTTTGAACAGTCTGGCAGCACTGTGATGGCGCCACCAGCTCTTGGTAGGATTAAACCGAAAACTTGGAAAATCATTTTATTAACAGTAATATTACGTATTAAATGCGCAAAGTAAATAATGATCAAGAAAATGAGATATTAAAATGATGTATAAAAGCGAAGCAACAAAAATAATTTTGAATGCCGAAACCCGGGATCGAACCGGGGACCTTTAGATCTTCAGTCTAACGCTCTCCCAACTGAGCTATTTCGGCACATGCATAGGACGCGGACCAAAGGGCTGGTTGGGGGGAGGGATTGGGATGGGATAGCTAAACATAACTTTTCTGCTTTAAGCTATGGTTTAGCTATGAATAATGGAAGGAATTCAAAATAATTTACTTTTTCAAGGCCTTGCATCGGCTTGTGGTTTTGAGTAAAATTAAAAAATGATTAACTGGGTTCAATGGTTTTTAATTAAGGGGAGTTGAGTATATAAAAGCCATCCAGTTCACTGGATTGGATACTAACAGCATTGTCCCTTTTCTGTTCGTCATTTATTAGCGTGTTCGTTCTGGACATGACCGTAAAATTTCTGTTGCTAATCAAAAAAGGTGAAGCTCGGTTGGCCAAAAAAAAAAAAAAAAATAATAAAATAATGAAAGCAACGTCGTGGATGCACCAACCAACCAAACCAACCAAACTCCTTCACCGCCATGTTACGACAAACTGAGTTCTTTGGCTGCCAGCAACAAGGAATGTTTATTGTTGTAACTTTCTGATTTTAATACGAGTATATCGTATCATGTACATATATGTATATGTATGTATATTTTTAGAGCACTCTTTGTGTGTGCGAGTCCATTCAATTTATTCATGATTCATGCATAATTGCAGGTGTTTTACGTTTTTTTTTATTTACCGCGCAGGCCCGGATGACCGATCTCCAACGGAAGATACCCAAACGGCACCAGGCGGCGCATGCGCATCATCCCTGGAGGTCAAGTGTCGGGGAACTAACTGTTGTACCTCTGCTGGCGCTGGTGGGGCATTCCACCAAACTGCACACGTGCTCGTGTCACCGTCGTCGTCGCTGTCGTAGAGTCCACATCAGTCAAGGATCCGGTTCTAACAAAAAAAAAAAACACTTAACTGGAGCTACCAACCGAATGCTGCCTTGAAAGCAGCGACTCACAGGCCCGTGGCTCGTGGGCGTTCAAGCAAGACCGAAAAGAACTGAAAAGAATATCCAAGAAAATACAGACAAGCGCAAACGCTACAAAACACATGCGCCCAAGCTAGCACCCACCCACCCACAATAGATTGGCCCGTACTTGACACTCCCCATGGTAGCTCCAATACCACATATATAGCGCTGGCCAGTTCTCCACTGACGTCACATGAGCGCCGGTGTCCAAGAGCACATCTCGGCAAATTAGCAGCAGCAAAAAAAAAAAAAAAAAAAAAACCAACACCTGCGGCGGACAGAAACAACAACTTCTGAGAGAGGCGAAAAAAAATCACCATTGAAACTGGTTCCGAGGGGAAGCTGCGACCCGTGAGTCAGCTCGAAACGTCGTACTGGTACCTCCTCCACTCCACCCTCCTATCAGCGTGCACCGATTTACCACACGCACATGACTGCCTGCCTGCATGACTTTCTTTGATAATAATAGTGCCAACTGCAGAGATCGGGCAAAAACAAAATAAATCCCCGTCCAATTGCAGGCTCAGAACCTTTACACCCGAACTGGAAACTTGATTTTGCATCTTGTTATACCCTATCAAAAGTAGTGCATAGTCTATCAAGTGTACGAACCACTGATGTCAAAATTTCAGAGTCAAGCTAGACTCAAAAAAATGGCAATAATTAATCCAATATGATCGATAAAACCTAAAATGTATAAGCTTGAAATGATGTCTACAGAAATAATAAATTTTGTGCTTTTATTTAAAATAGCGATAAATTTTGAGCTTCGTTACCTTCAACATGAGATCCTATAATCGCTTTCATACATTGCAATAGTATTTTACGATTTCGCAAATTACTCAAAGTACTCAAAGCGCATTTCTGCGCAACCCATATCCATAAAATTTAAAAGAAGACTTCAGTGCTTGAAAAAACATAGCCTGAAATATGCTCAAATGGCAGCAATGGTGCTATTTGAGTTTCCTTGTCCGTCATACATATATCCATCGATATATCTCTTCCAATGAAAAAATTTATGTATAGTGCATATGTGCATATAGACACTTAGTACTTAGTAATGTCGAGGTACGTGTATTGAAATTGTCGGAACGGCCAAAGCAAAGAAATTCCAATTAAGCAAAATTATGAAAGTGTAGTAAATGTTTCGGTCCCTCAAGTTTGCACAAGCTTCTTGTTTTTTATGAATTCTGCGAAAGCATCCGTCCGAGAAGTTGGTGCTTGGTTCGGTTCGCCTGGGATCAAGCAGAACAAGGCACAGACAAACAGCACTCATCATCCACACCGCCATCACCGTCACCGTCCCCAACATCATCATACCCAACATGCTGAGATTTTGGAAGCGCGAAGAGCTGCAAGAGGTAGAGGGGAAATCCCACTAGTCTCGGGTTGAGATTATGCGTGGATTTTCCATCGCTGCCAACTGGTTTTCTCTCTCGGATGAGTCGCTTGTTTACTACAATTCAGAGAGAATTGCCAATACGAAATCCGATAATTTTTTGTTTTTTTAATGGTGGGATCTCTGGATGCTTTCTTGAGCCATGAATGATGGAAGCCTCTCATTCTTGGCACTGCTCGAATTCACTGATGACAGGTGACACTTTCATGATGCAGACAAAGCAAGCAGTTCAAATGCGCCGCAATGAGCAAGCACACACATATGTACGAAGAAAAGGAGGCACGGCCCTAACAAATTCCTCTCGATTTGTGGCGGATTAATCAGTCCTTTGTTCGAACTGTCCGATCGGAATCCTATTTTTGGCCAAACCACAAGGCGCGAATCGAGAAAGGTTGCAGCAGCATTCTCTAAGCAGAAATAACAAAGAGAGGGGGAGAGCGGCGCGCGCGCAGAGACGGCTACTTGCTCTCTCGGCTGCTGCTGCGACTGCGTCTCTGACGGCTCTACCGCTTGATCGCAAAGCGATCGTTTGGTTTCTTCGGGCCTGGCTTTTGTGTTCGGCATTCGGGCGTTGGGTTTTCCTTTTTAAACCACGCCAAATGGAGCCGTGTTTTAGTTGTGTTTGCAAAACGCAGCCCATTGGACGTGCCCAAAAAGAATTAATAAACCGAATACGATTCCATTCAAAGCGATCTGCAGAAGCACTACTGTTCTCCTCTCGCCCGGGATCACGACCACACGGAATAGTGTACAATATTTATATATTTTTTTTCTTTGCTGTGGGTGGCTGTGCATGAGCACATCGCATCGCAATTGTGTGTGTTTTTTTCCTGTCGCGTTATCTTACATTTGGCTAATTGAAAGAACTGTGAAATCGAAAGATATTGGAATAATACACGCCCTGCTGTCTGCTGCCATTCAATTGCTAGCTGTCGCGCATGTTTGTTCGCAATTAATTTAAATCCATCGAGTGGTGCACGAGTTCTACAGAATAGTACTCGTATTTTTTGTGTGTCAGTGTCAAATTGATCGCAGAACAAGAGGGAGACCAGCCGTTTCTTTATCCAAGTGTAAGTGTAATTGTATTCGAGAAATTGTATTGTGCGATGATCGATCAGACTATTTAAGTTATTCCTGTGGCATTGGGGAAACCACCAGATCGACGAAAGAAAAAGCTGAAAAATATAGATGAAACAAATAGTGTGAAAGGTCATGAAGTACAGTCTCTCTGGAGATCAAAGGGTTTCGAGGACCACAGATCAATATTAGATTAAAAGCAAAGCTAAACTTATTACTGTGCCTAATTGAACAGCTTCCTTGACTTCCTGTGTCCATATTTGAGCTAAAGAAAAAAAACTGATCGAGAAATAGATGTCTTAAGTGTTTGCAGCAAGCAGTCCTCTGGTGTAAGGATCAACAATGATCACGTTAGCTTGCCTTGACTGGATTTGTCATCGCAAAAGCAACAACGATCAACCGAGCACCGACCGACCACCAACGATCGCCAAGTGCTAAATGCAAACAATGATACAGTGATTAGGCATTTGTCCAGATTCCACCCCTCGTTAATAATAAAAAGCTAATAATAAGCTTCGTTAAATAGTTGGACTTCTGGTTATGCGAGAGTTATTTACATAATATGTATGTACATACATACATATGTACATATACTATACGACTACGAGTACATATGTATGTGAAAGGCTTGGAACCTCAGTGTCCCCAGGGCAAGCTCAAGTCACTTCAACTACAACTTAAACCATTAAAAGTTTGTATTTGTATTTGAGTAGTGTGTTCAATATTGACGCAACTCTGTCGCTCCGTCAACAAAACACTAATGAGTAATGGCACCGGGAAGAGATGCCTTCTTCGAGTGGCACGCCCACGCCCTCTCGCACGCCCATGCCCCCCCCATACCTAGTGAGGTCTGAAGTTTGAACTATCTTATCAGAGCGGTGCAGAGCAAAGAAACAGGAAGGTAAACCCCAAAAAGCAAACCGAATCGAAGCAAATAAAAGAATACAAAAAAAAAATCAGTAACAGAAATCGATCAGACATCAGGCATCCAGAAGAGAGTGTGAATTAGAATGAGACGTGAAGCGCGCCTCGAAGATGTTCGCCGCTAATGAATCTTCCGATCGTTTCGAGGTGTAGTGTAGCAATTTGTTCTTCAAACGTGTTGTATAAATTTGGCATTATCTCAAAACGTTGAAGGCACAATTTAAATAGGAATTTATTAAACAAAGAATCTGGCAATCATTTAATTTGAGTTTCAATTTCAATTAGCGGATCTGAATCGTGTTCCCACATCAAGCGGGAGCGATCCCAAAGTCCCCTCATAATTTGCAGGTGGGCGTCTTTTGATGCCCCCCATAGCCAAGCAGGGGGTGCGGCGGGTCATATTGTTGTGGGGGCAGTCACGAAGATCACAGTCCACGTGGAATGCAAAAATATAGCAATACAATATATACATATATTATGGAGAAGATCAAATTGCTAATGAACGAACACTGGCAATTGAAAAAGTGTGTCTGTGTCTGTGTCTGGATTTGATTAACATTCCCTTTTCTATAATTTATCCGCGAATGTTTTCTAATTTCAATAATCGAAGCGAAGGCCATGCAACGATCTCTCTCTCCCTTCCGATGGGGAAATCAACCTAAAACCCGTCTAATATGAATTTCAACCCGACTAAGCTATGTATCGGTCTCTCATCAGTTCTATTTGAAGCCTATACTTCTGCCGAGGATCAGCTGCAGCTGCAGGTCCATTTTAATCCATGGAATGTCATCTCATCACAATAATATTCGATCGGAACCCATTTACCAGCCCAAGCCATAGTTCAGCAATTAGAAAGGTTGGCCAGGTGTCGCAGACCATTAGAATTACTTTTAATTGATAATCCAGCAAGTTCGAGAGACGTCTAATTGCTTGACCACTCTAATTATGCCACAAATTAACGGCAAAGATATAAGGCGGATACATACATACATACTATACACAGCTATCCATATGGGATCGTATACTATATGTATGCATGTATATTTATGAGTAATTTTCTGCCCAATCTATGACTAGGGCTTCTGTAATCTGTTTCAAGCACTTAAGCTCTGAACTCTATCCAACAATTAAATACAAATAATTACTTACTCACTCACTCCATGCTCTCGACTCTCACCCATACTTAAGTATGAGATGTGTCATAATGAGATCTCATCCTTGCATTGGGTATCTTCATGGTCGTATATAAAGATGCATGTCTACCCATTCGTCTCGTCTGCTCCGCTCAATTTGCGTTTGTCGAACAAGCGACAGCGACGACGTAATTACCCGTAATTCGGGTTATACAGTCCGCTGTCCGGCACCCGGTCGTTTTTCAGAACCCACTCGAAAGCTGTGCTGAACACAGAAACAAAGCCGTATGTCCGAGATACAATAATACATTTGCCAAGATGATGATTAGCGATTATTGTTGTTGCTGGTCAGCTGGTCTGTTCTGTTCTGTCCACCACCCGGTTCTAGCCAATACGAGTCTATTGATTTATGCAAATGCCGGAATAGTAGTTTCAATACAGCAATACACGTATACCCTTAGTGGGGCAACTGTTGCCGGGCACCGCACCACGTGGGCACCAGCAACCGATCCGCAATCTTATATGTACATATTTGCATACGGGACGCTGCTTCAGCTGCGGATGGGTGACAGGTGCGAAAGCTGCAGCGTTTTATAACTCATTAAGATCTGTTTGGGCGAGACACCTGGACGAGCTGAATCGAAGCACTGATTCATTTGAATGCCTCTGGTTAATTGGTTAATTGATCTACTCCCAAAACTGATTGAATTCTGATTGTTTATATAAAGAATCAGATTGTTCCTACTGCCTACACCAAATGGTAGATCTATTTATTTCATGATCTACCATTGTGAAGATCAGAATTCTTAAAGAGCTGTCGTCTTCTATTTTGTTTTTCTTGCCACACAAATTTTATGTTTAAGCCACTTAGTCACAAAAGTTGTTTTAATCTGTATAAGTTAATACTAAAAATTCACTAATTTCATGATTGACGTCGAATATTGTTTTTGTACTTTTTCTTTAATTTTTTGGTAGTTAAATTTTGAAGTGCTTTGGAAGCTGATTCCAGAGTCGAGCCGCATGACCAAAGAATTGCTTTTCAGAGTTACATGATTGCATCTTGAAGCAAATAAAAACGAGGGAGGGCACAGGAGTTAATCAGATCACACTAACGTGTAGTGTTCATGATCTCTCGCTAGCGCGCACTGAACGCGGCGAGGTGCGAAGGAAATGAGTTGCGTTGTGTCAGGAGGGGGGGGGAGCACTATTTTGTCCGGCTATATATGCCGACTGGGGAGCTGGAGAGGGCATTCTAGTTTACGCTTTAAAAGTGGCGCCTCGTCCTTGTGGGGGGGGGGGGGGTTGAAATACACTTGAGCAGTGTGATATCACATGAGTCTGGAAACCAAATTTGGCTGCCCTAGCTCTGCAGTCTCTAGATCCGGCGTCAAACAAGACGGACAGCGGCGCAGCGGCCGCGGCAGGCGTCGATATTACTTGGGGGGCGTTCCCCTGCGACCATCAAATCTAATACCCTTACTTTTGGCGGGTATATTTACCTACCGCATTCGACCGTCCAAGGGGCCAAGGAGTCATCTCACGTGTCTTTTCCACAAATTCATATTTATGATTTAAAATGATTCAGATACAATTTATGTAGATATTAAAGGGTGCTGGGAGAGGTTTTGTATTTTTTTTCCCAGAGATTACTTTCCCCAAATGATGCGCATGATTGATCTCTAGTGTTCGCCTTTGTTGACCATCTCTCATGTCTCGTGTCTCTGTCTCTGCCTTCTTGTGCAAGCTTGGTCTACATATACACAAACATCCGGCACATGCTGGGGCGGCGGCGTCAGCCGTTGTTAACACATTGGCCATAATGGTCGGTCGGGTGGCAGGCAAACCATGTGACATGGCCGGCACTTAGCGACCTGATGGCTTCATCTTCATCCATCTGGAAGCCCAATTAGCCGCTTAACTTTGCTGTGCATTAATCAAAATCCGTTACGAAATCTAAATACAAGTCGAGTGGCGTTTCATCTGAAGAGTGCCACCAGTGCCAGGGTCAGCAACGAGTGGCAGCTGCTGCTGCTGTTGTTGCTGCTGCTGCAGCTGCGGCACGCAAGCCTAATTGGCCCTAAAGATATTTGCCACAAGCGGTGGCTAAGTGGCTGCTAATTGCAAATGGGAGGAGAATCAAGAATAGAGACACCTGCCCGGTCCAGACCCGGTCTGGTCTGGGCATTTAATTAAGATTATTTATTCAAAGTTTATTAAGAACAGTGTCAAAGAATCTAGCGGCATGCTAAATCACCATCTGGCCAGTGTCAGTGCCTGCCCTCGCTCCTCCCTCTATCCATAAGCCATTCATAAACGCCAAGTTAACCTTGACTGCGGTTACAGCCGACACAACACGGGGGATGGTGCGGGTGCAAGTGCAAGCGCTGTTAAACCGCATTTTTAGACAAGTTAATACAATTGTACCGAGTAGTATAATGTGGAAGTAATGGAATGGGCATGCTTGAGTGCCGGCCGTTTGTCTTGTCATCTGTTCAAAGTGCTAGTGCTGTGCATAGACGACTTAGAGGCCTATTACAATCTACGAAAATCTTAAGCTGAAACTGGACTAGACAGACTGGACGGTAGCATAAGATGAGTACTTTAGGTAATTACCTTTTTACCTGAGCACTATTTAATTCGTGCCCAAAAGATTTATCTTAGATACCGAATGGTGGTGGCCTCCATGGCACGCCCACGCCCACCTCCACATAGCTAGACTATCAGATATTCACACATTAGTCATGTCCGTGCCCAGTTTTCGACCTGACTCGAGAGTCGACTGCAAGCAGCCAAGCCTGACCGCAGTCGCAGTCGACAGTCGCGGCCTGTTCTTGGTCTAATCTTGTCACGAATATAAGCAAACAGGGGTCGATGCTGTAATATCAGCGTTGCAACATTCTCCCAAACAGAGAGGTTAAACTGGCATTGCGTGTGGCTTGAGGTGGGGCGTGAGGTCAATGGGAGAGACTTGTGCGCGCGCTGCTTTCGATTCGCAGCAGTGCCCTCCAAAGTACAGTGAAACCATTTGAAAATGCATCAAACACTGGCACTGAGCCGGTGGCGCTGGCGGTTAAGGCACTAATTAAATGCACTTTAGTTTCAGTTTTATGCTTCAAACAACATCAATTCAATTGCAAGCCGATGCAATTTTCGATTTCAAACGCCCCCGCACAGAGGTGTACTCGATACACGAAACGCAACACTGCTTGGCCTTGCCGAAGAAAGCGAAAGACACGAAGCAAAGCAAACCGAAGTCACGTCTGTGGTCCGATGTCCGGTTTTGATCTGGTTTGGTCTCGGTGCGTATGCCGCCGCCTTGACTCTGAACTAGAAATATGTACTCGTCGTAAACGAGATTTACACGCACGCACCGACGCGTCAGTGTGAATGCAATCCAGGGCCAAGGCTTGTCCAAAGAATGGCTTGGACGTGCGTGAAGTCTGTGTCCCAACATCATCCTAAATGCTATGTGTTGACACACTCACATATGGTCTGCTGATATCGTCTGTATGTAGACAAAAGTCCAATGCCAAGGCCAAGTCTCGGAATTTGGCTAAGCTGACAACAATCAATGTTTTTCCTTCCTACATCGCCATTAAAAATCGAATCTGCATGAGAATTGTTGGTACCAGATCTGCGTTATTTATGGCTCAATAAATGACACTTTGTATCGCTCCAACCCAAAAAAGGTCAGGGGAGCTTTACAATGGCTCAAAGCCCATTGAGGCATTCGCTTAATGTATATTATTATGAAAATTGCACTCGGCAGCTCTAGCCAAAATAACCAGAACGAGTCAAAAGCAGAGTGGGAACTCGGAATTGAAGGCACAAAGGCACATCATTGTAAGCATTTTGAGCATCAATCCCCTGGCCCCACTCCAAATAACCAAACAATGCGCAGACCAGTCAGTCAATGCTTAAATGGTGAATAAAGCGAGCTATGAGCTATGCAATAACCTGTCCCAGAGCCCAGAACTGGCCAAAGCATCCGCATTCTTTGAAAATTTTGTTTGGCCGCATATCCGTTGGATACTATTACCATGGGGCACCGGAGTTCGTTCGCTGGAGCTCCCACTAATGTTCTGAGCGATACAAGCCATTCTTGGTACTGGGGACTGACCCTGGCTCTGACAGTTCTCCGGCTGGCAATTGTAAGACACAAAGAAGAAAGACAGAAACAGCGAAAATAAATTAACTTGATTGATTAAAGGAATTTGTATACGCATGTTGCCGTGGCTGGGGGCATAGGGCGGGCGGTGGCTGTCAAAACTCAAGCCACAGCTCCAAACTCTCAAAGCTTTAGATCGGCACTGTACAATGATTGTTGTGGAGGTTGCTTAATGGCGGCTTGCCAAAAAATTAATTTGCTAGCTGCCAGAATAAGAAAAACAAGGCAAATTGTTAAAGGCACTTTGCTTGCTGACTGGTTACTCAATCCAGGTGGCATAATCGATAGATCGAAAAAGATTAGCAGTTTCCGACAGGGCTTACATCATGACCTCCTACATCCAGAGCAGGCCTCCAGAGGTACACAAATTACCAGTACTTTTCCAATGGAGCAACTGGGCACAATACCCTTGGGTACCTTGGATAATGGGCTTTCGGACTCAACTTTGATCATCAATGAGTATAATGGATGTCTATGTGTCCAGTGTCCGGATAAAGTTCGTTAGATGTGGCGTATGCCATCACGTACTCGCATATGCCTTTGTGCCACAAAACTCCTTTCGAAATTCTAGTCACGACGCTGCCTTCCATTGCAATGGGGTACTGGTACTGCACTGGAGGCAGAGGTGACCTGTCGCCATTAATTGAGATCTCGCAGAATATTTGTCATTATGCAGAGACACTTGATGATCATTTTCCGTCTCTGTTCGCCAATCTTATTTGATTGCAAATTTGATACACGAATGTGTTTCTGTTTATCTTTTTGTAAATCAGAAATTAATTTCTGTGGATGGGTTGACGTCTGCTCTCTTTTGTAGTACATTAGGCGATTCCTCAGACTCATTAAAATAATCATGATGATGTCGTAGAGCTTTTTTCTACAGGCTTACAATATAGACTGAATAACGGAAACAATTTCAGAACTGCGACTGATCGACATTATCTTTCTGTCTATTCCTTTTGCAGGTGTATTCCATACAACGGCCTGAAGATGATACCCATTCTGGAGAAACTGAGCGGCTTCTACAACTCGTACGTGCTGGGCATACTCACCATTGGCTATGTCCTGGGCGAGTTGGGCCACTATCTCATCGGAGTGACCTCCAAGCAGACCGCTATTGAGCTAGACTACGGCGATCATTCCTGCCAACAGAACATTTCCCACTTCAACCGCCAAGAACTGCCGATGCAGTGTTCGGCGGTAGGCAACGAGAGCAGTTGCCACGCCCTGGACTTCAACGGCACTGGGTACTGCGAGTGGAACTACAATGGGCTGGGCATCGACTACCAGATCCTTGCCGGACCCACCTTCATTCTGATCTTCACCATAGCGGGTGTCTTCATGGGCTTCGCGGCCGACAAGTACAATCGCGTCAAAATGCTGACCGCGTGCACGGTGGTCTTTGGCATCGCAATCATTGTGCAGGGCACCGTTAAGGAGTACTGGCAGCTGGTGCTGCTGCGCATGGTGATGGCCGCCGGGGAGTCTGGTTGTAATCCCCTGGCCACCGGCATCATGTCAGACATTTTTCCCGAGGACAAGCGCGCCCTGGTCATGGCCATCTTCAATTGGGGCATTTACGGAGGCTACGGCATTGCCTTCCCCGTGGGTCGCTACATCACAAAGGCGAACTTCTGGAATCTGGGCTGGCGTGTGTGCTACCTGGGCGCCGGAGTGCTTGCGGTGATCGTGGCTGCACTCACTGGGACCACTCTGCGGGAGCCGGAGCGCAAGTCTATTGGCGAGGTCGATCGACAGACGGCCAGCGGCAAGCCGATCAGCCTGTGGCAGGTGATTAAGAATCCCGCCATGATCATGCTGATGATAGCCGCCTCTATTCGTCACTGTGGGGGGATGACCTTCGCCTACAACGCCGATCTGTACTACAACACGTACTTTCCCGATGTGGATCTTGGCTGGTGGCTCTTCGGGGTCACCATTGGCATTGGCAGTGTTGGTGTGGTCGTTGGTGGCATTGTTTCCGACAAAATTGTCGCCAAGATGGGAATCCGATCACGCGCCTTTGTTCTGGCTGTTAGCCAACTGATTGCCACACTGCCGGCCTTCGGTTCGGTCTACTTCGATCCATTGTGGGCCATGATCACCCTCGGCCTGAGTTACTTCTTCGCCGAAATGTGGTTCGGCATTGTGTTTGCCATTGTCGTCGAAATTGTCCCGCTCCGTGTCCGATCCTCGACCATTGGTGTTTTCCTGTTTGTGATGAACAATATTGGCGGTAATCTGCCCATTCTGGTGGATCCCGTTGCAAAGGTGCTTGGCTATCGTGGCTCGATCATGATCTTCTACGCGGGCTTCTATGGCATCAGTAAGTTGACTTTTTGACTCATGATCTTACCCTTGAGGGTATTGGCTGCTCATATTTTTAACACCATCTCCTCTCCTTTACAGGCTCCATACTCTTCTTCATCACTTGCTTCCTGCTCGAGGGCAAGCCCGAGCCGGCAAGACGAGAGTCTTCGGTCGAGTCGCCATCGAAGATTCATCCAGAGGCTGTGCTCAACGCCCGCCATATGCACGGACACGACAATTCCGTGTTCACCGTGGACGAAGCGACACTGCCAGCCGCTAACGGACGTCCAACACAGCTGCCGCAGCACTTGCAGATGTCCAGCGGCAACGGCTACGACAAGTCACAACCGACTCCGGCGCGCCAGAACGGCGCGGAGAGCAGTAGACTGTAGAATAAATACTTACATATGTATGTATGTGTGTATGTACTTATAGGCGTACGTGCAGATGTTATTCCGGAAGATTCCGGGTTAATGAAAGATCGATTGCGCGTGGTTTTTTTTTTAAACTATTATTACTATTATTATTGATTCTTTATTTCGTTTAAACGTACTTAGTCTTAAGCGAGAGGATGAGAGAAACGACAAGAAAAGGGAGGCGCGCAGTGGCTTCTGTTGCTGTCACCTTTTCCACATCGGTCTCTCTCACTTGAGCACACACAAACACACTCTCTTCCCAGCGCCTGTGTAAAAGAGAGCGGCACATGTGTACTTACTTATGTATGATGTATGTATGTAACTTGATAACCACAACAAAGTGTACATCATCAATAAAAATCTGTTTTGTTAAATATGGTAGTTTTTTTTGTACTTTCAATGGCACTCGCCGACAAGAATGCATTTTCATATACAGCCACGGTCATAATAATAGTAGTGCCCATTTATTTTCCTATAATTTTAGTTTTGTACAGATTATTATAATATATAACAACTTAAGATAAGTCCGCAACATTTTTGGAAAGTCATCCGGTCAAAGTGATGGTAGTTCATTTTTTCATACAAACACAACAATTTTCTGGGTGTCTTTTATATTCATTATGAGACATCCCAGATAGTAGTGATACTATTTATTTTGACTGATTGTGGGCTTGGCGGTTTTCCGTTAGTTTAAAGCCATATATGTGTGTACATTTTTAGTTGAGTAGCCTTTCTTTCCTTTGGCATGGAATTAACCAAATTTTGGAATCTCTCCATGGAAATCGAACCCAAGGATCTTTATACAGCATCTTAAAGTTGATTTGTTTTATTTATGAGACTTGTTTCACATTGCACCATAAATTCCCAATTTAAATGATATCGGGTTACCGACTTGGCCATTTCATTGAATTTACTTTACTGGCTCGCGAACCACTACTTTGCCTTTGCGAGTGTCCTTCCGATCGTTGTCCTATTGGGATGGTCAATATGGTTGATGGTTAGCATACTTTAGCTAAGGAACCAGAGAGCCTTTTATTTAGTTGATACCGGCACCAAATGAAGAAATCAAATCGATTGTTAATTAACAATATTTCATAACCCATAGTAGCACTATTATTTTGACCACAACTATATGTATCTATATATGTGTGTATGCACATACATATGAGAACTTACTTCAGTGCCGCGAACAAGTATGTACTTTCCCAACTAATTACCAATGTATTTTCTTCTTTAGTTTGAATACGCGACACCATAGGAGGGGAAGAATCGACATCTTTCAGTTTTCACTGGCAAGCTCTTATACGGGCACATTTGCCATCTCATGTACTGAATGTTATGTACATCCATATTTATGTGTGTATGTATACTTACATTCTCCTTAGCGGCCGCATCGCAGTCTGAGGGTTATTCGGCTATTTTCACCGTTGCGGCTACTGTACTCGCACTTGCACCCATGGATATACGTATGTATGTGCAAGCACACTCTCATATATGTTCAGTCTCTCGCTTAAATAAACGTTTTCTTGAGACAACATGAGCGGAATGCGGATTAATATCGATAGTTGCCTATCGGGACCGTGTGTGGACTGAGACAACAGCTGACAACCAGCTCAGGAATATACATATGTTCAACAATTATTCCTGAAGTGAAAAGTGAGATTTGTAGGCAAAAACTGTGCGCAAAACCAAAAAGAGAGATGCAAATTTTTTCTTTTGTCATTGCAACTTTATATGCCGCCACCAACACAATCACATCATCGTCAAAGTGCATTTTTTCTCGTTTTTTAATTTTAGTAGAATTTCACAATTTGCACCGTTTACAAAACACAGCTGATTCATCAACCCGGTTTTAGCTATGTTCCGCACCCTCACAGAATGACTAGCAAATTCCTGGCAGAAATTTTTCCCTGTTGCTGGAGACAGGCGCCTTTTATTATGAAAATATAAAAGAGAATGCAAAGCAACAAAAATAATCTAATGTTATCTGTTTTGCAGACTAGAAGTGAAATCGGTCATCAGCAGCAGTGAAAATATCGGCTACTTTGCCGATATTTGCGGCGAATTCAATTCGCCGTACACTGTCTGTGAGATTGTCACACGGCTCACATATGTGTATATATGAAAATGTTCATGGTGTTTGACGGCGCTGACAAACCGGTTGAACGGCGACAAAATGTATTTTCGCTATCCAGTTCATTTGAACGCCTTCTTTTGGAGTGTAAGCATCAGCGCGTCGGTGGTGTTTTAGTTGTCCGAATAAAATACCCAGGAACGTCTAGATAAGAGCGAAAATTCTGGTAAGTCTTTGTTGCTTAAGTCCCCATGCTAAACAAAACGAAAATACGGTTTGTAGTTCTCATGTTAGGTAATTTACGGAAAATTGCGCCACACTCTTCAGCACGCCATCAGGCAGTTTTCCTTGTGCTGATTTTTTTTTTCTGTCTGCTTCATTCACTTATGTGCGCGTTCTGCAGAACCACCCTCGTGTGTCGATAGAACCTTCCTTCTGGGAAGAATTTCAAGCATTGTACGCAGCCCATTAAATGAAGAATGATCATAGTGGCTCAAGGCAACACAACCGAAAAAAAATGTTGAGAGAGAAGAAAAAATATGAATGCCCTTCGAACTGTTTTTCGTTCAGCATATGTAAGTGTTGCATATGTAATTGTTGTAAATATGCCTTACCTTCTTATATGCATCCGCAATGCATCCCAAGACAAATTGGAAATAAACGATTTAAAGTCCATTGAAACACTTCGGTTTTTCCTGAGTTCGGCAGCCATTCGAGTCATCAGGTTTTAGTTGCTAGTTGCGATTGGGACTTTGGCGAGTGCGGACGTACATTTTGTAGTAGGCTAACGCACACACACGCTTCAAAACACCAGAGCACTGCCGTATCTAGTATGCGATTGCTATCTTGCTCTACCATTCAGGCCGTATCTATATACATTTATGTACCTACGAGTCGTTTTGTTGAGAGAGTCGGATTGATCTCAGTTTCTGAGAGTGTCTCGCATACGCTTCCTGCGAGCAGCACAATCAGTTTGAAATATAATCTTCGAAGATAACAAACAGATTGAAAAGAGTCAAATATTTATTTACTTCCTTTCACTCATTATTAAATTTAAGTTAAATATTTTAAAAACAATCATATTTGCCTAGAACTATAACCATTTTAAAGAGACATCAATGCACAAAATTTATTAGAAATTCGCATTATTATGTTGCCTCAAATTTTGCTGAAATCTGAATTGATCACCTCGAAAACCACTTCTGTTTTTGTCCCGTGCGAATGCCATGGTTAATCGACCTATTCATAACTTATAGGGATAATAAAAAGGTGTGTTATAGTTGAAAATTTTTTTTGATAATTTGTCTTATTTTGACCTTTCTACCAGTGGCGTAGCTAGGTAAGAAAGGACCCCGTGCAAAAAAAAAATGGGGCCCAACCTAAAGTAAGATACTTTATCATTGAGAGGGTTTTGTGTGAGCTTTATTGATTAATAATTTTGGTATTAGGTCATGAGGTAAATCGAATTCTTTATTTGAAAATGTATGTGTTCAAAAAACTTGATTGTACATTTAACAAAATTACAATCTTTATTTTCCCTTACGTTTTCAATCGACAAAATTTAACTTTTTATTTTAGATTCGAACAAAAAGAGTTCAGGGGTGTATTAGATTTGTGGTAAAAGTGGATGTGTGTAACGCAGAGATGGAAAACGTTTCCGACCCCATAAAGTATATATATTCTTGATCAGCATCAATAGCCGATTCTATGTCTGTCTGTCTGTTGATGACATGCGCGCTTCTAGAGACTACTAGAGCAACATAATTTTGTTTCCAGATTTCAAAATTTCGCCACGCCCCCTTCCGCCACCTAAAAAGACGATAATCTGTGTCAGGCACAATTGGAAAGATACGATAAAACTGAAAACGCAGAGAATGACCAGATGGCCGAATCTGAATCAGATCGCGGATATTGTCTGGGTGAAGTATGTCGTTCATGCCGGACATCGTCCGTGACAGCACATTCCGCCACAACAGCAGAGATTCTAATGTACACATTCGAATTAACATCCGGCGAGGAGCTGAGCCAGCAGTCTCCGGTGTCGAAACACTATGTACACTTTATGTACATTATATACTAAGCTTTCAGCCCTTTAAGTAGGGAAAAGGAGAGCAGACATCTTTATTATTGAAATCAGAAGCCCATCATATTGCTGAAACCCAGCCTATTGGACCCATGCTATTGGAACTGATAAATCATAAGCTCACAAATTTATATGCCGACTGAATACTGGTATAAAAGTAAAGTCGCGTCCAAAGAAGCGACTTACACGTTCCTTCTCGTTTTTTAAAATTTATTTTGTTTTGTTTATAGGTGCATATTATTTAATGAAGAAAAGGCTCATCTGAAATTGGTTGACAAACCCTCCGAAATTATATATTTACCATTTGGAACGTTACTCCAGCCGTTTCTCCATATTATTTTATGAAGAATACTTTAAACGACGCTTAATTATACAAGTCGAATTCATGCTTGCATTTCAAACAAAAGTGAGGAGTGAGAGATATTTTGGTGATTTTCTGGTCGATCAGCGCCACCACTTCTGGTTGCCCCGAATGCCCCGGACCGTCCCTTGCACGTACGTAGCTACGCCACTGCTTTCTACCACTTGCAATGCGTACGAATGTCCCATTCGACGTCAGAGAAATACCCATATGTAATGGTGGTATTTGCCTAGACTTAAACTAACTGGCACTTAAACCCTTATGGGAAAAGCAGGCAGTGTGAAAGTGAGAGAAATATGGTAAACTTTGGCTGTTTAGTCGAACTGGTGGCAACGCAGTGACAGAATTGTATTTCTGGACCTCTTCCACTAGATATCAACCGAACTAACTGTGATATTAGGGAGACCAGAGATAAAAAAGTAAATATCTTCAAAAAATACCTTACCATGCTGAAAAAATGGCAAAGTTTAAGTATATGAACAGCGTGTTAACTAATTTAAAATCACTCTATTTTCAACCCACACATTATTTTGGATATCGGCGTTGTAGATGCAGGGTGAAAATTGTTCAAGTTCGCCGCGTCAACTGAATTGCATTTGCATTACGTAAATCATAAGTTATATATAAAAACTGAATAGCGTAGTATAATATAATCAAAACTACGCTGAAAGAAATGATTACAAAATATTTTTCTTTTGCTATGTCTGAAGTGCATTATGGTTTTAAGCTCTGAAACAGAAAAAACTGTTTTGTCACACTATATGTTGGGTATGGGAGCAGTCCCCGAAAATTTGTAAAATTAGTTTTTAGCTCCATTGGAAACTAAGATTTGTTTCTGAATCAAAACATCAAAGATTTCAAGTACAATTATTGTTATAAACCTGATCAATTTTTCATTAAGACCAGCTTAATTACACAGAAATTCTATAACTTGTTTGGTTGTGAACTTAAAATACCTGCGAAAAAATGATAAGAAAACATCCTCCAGATGTGGCGCATCCTGATCAACTGGAACCTGGATAACTCCTTCGCCTCCAAGATGGCCATGAAAAGCACGACTTGGAAAGCTTCTTCACCCAGGAGGAGCCTGACGAACTACCCAATCCTAATCCCAGTCCGCGTCATATGTCTCAGGGGACTTACACCCTCAAGGGAATGAAAAACGTTGGATCGTAACAAATACAAAATTCATTTTTATCAATTAACGGTTGAAAATTTGGACGAAAAGGACTTTTAAAACTAGGACTTGGATTTTAGAAAATGTGTGATTAATGAAAAGAAAAAGATATAAAAATGAACTGAAGGCATCTTTTTTGGAACAAAAATTGCCCATATACGCCAGCTCTGAATTCCTGGAAAATCTTATTGGAATGCAACAAGCGCGAACCGCAAAACGAATATCGTACGGATGGCAATACTAACAAATACAATGTTCCAGATATAATGTTCTAAACAAAAATTGGACGGCTTTAACGGCTCTATACATATTTCGGCTGGTCCATTTCAAAATCGAATACTATAATGACAAAAAAAACAAAACAAAACAATGGCGTTATCATCGCAGTCCATAAGAATCAGCAGATAAACACTGGCTTAGTTATGCCGCGTACTTGTTAGAAATTAAAATGGTTTAACCAGCCATCAATCATCCAATAGAGTGGATTAAAGGAAGGATATTCAGCATTTGCATTCAATTTTTGCAGCTGTCAACCCCAGAATTAATTCAGAACGTTATTTTTCCAATTTGTGGTCAAGATAATTATAAATTTCTGTTTTTAAAAACTTTAAGTGGAATTAAGTCGTAAATCCTAAATAAGGAATTAAATTCACTATTGTGTTCACTCTGTGCTGCTTTCAGAATAACTAACAATTCTACTAGCAGAATATTTTTGTGATCTAAGTGTCAAGCTAAAAATATCACAAAAGAAAACCCGCTTAATCTTTTCAAACAACATGCCGGATTTGATGACGTAAGCTTAAGCTCTATATCGATTAGCCAACGACGTCAATTTGGTTGCTATTCAAATTCAAAGTAACTTAAGATATTTTTTTGTGAAAAGAAACGCGTGAAGCTATAAGACGACTTTAAAAAATGTCACATAAAAGAGCTACATCAAATCTGAGCTAAATCGGCTTAAAATTGTTAACAAAAAAAAAACCCATACGAGGACAAAATGGAGTTTGTTGTTTTATTCGTTACGAAGCAAACTATGGACGAAATATAAAAGGAGGCCCTTAGCATCCGATAACACCAGCAGCCAAAAACTATCACTAGAACTCCTAACGTGCATCCTTCAAAATAGGGAAAATAAATTCGTCGTTGGAAGTCTTTTAACTTTTGGAGCATTATTCGGAGAGAAACGAATTTTAATAGATTGAAATTTAAAAAAACACTTAAGTGTTGTACGTAAGGTTACTTGTAAGTTCATCCAGGATGGACCGAACGTCTATAGCTACTATCATCCCGACCTTCAACAGAAGGCATGTTTTGGCCACTCCGGGTTTGGGACATGATTTGAAAATACCCATACTCGAATAGTTAAGGGGTGTATATTAGATTTGTGGTAAAAGTGCATGTGTGTAACGCAGAGAAAGAAACGTTTCCAACCCGATAAAGTATATATATTCTTGATCAGCATCAATAGCCGAGTCGATATAGCCTGTCCGTCTGTCCGTCCATCCGTCTTGATGAGCGCCTAGTTCTCAGTGACTATACGAGCTAAAGCTACCGAATTTTGTTTCCAGACTAATGCACTGCTACAAGTTTATTTCAAAATTTCGCCCCGCCCACTTCCGCCACCTCAAAGGACGAAAATCTGTGGCAGCCACAATTTTAGACATACGATAAAACGCAGTATCGTTAAGAATGAGCATATCTATCAGATTGCCGAATCTGATTCAGATTGGATCATTATTATAGCCAGAATAAAGAAATTAATTTTCAGTTGCTTCCCTCACCTCCTCCGGCGCTCTGACGCTATTCTTATTCTCTTAATCGCTTGCACATGCTCTGCTCTGTGCAGTGCGCGACATTTGCGGAGAAGATGTAGAATCTACATATACATGTATGTAGAATCGACATTTTAGATGTCGCTATCGCTATCAGATCATCTTTCATCTCAGCCGACAGTGTAGAAAAAGCTCAGATCTAAGACTAGAAAGTTTTAGCTCAGCCCTGTTTTGGGGTCCTTCTTTTAGCTACATGACTATAACAATAGTCGATCGATAGCTTGAACCATGACCCCTATTATTCTTTGTTATTGAATATAATCCGTCAGCCTTCGTTTGGGTGGCATTGCAATGCATTATTGAAGTACGAATTTAATGAAATTACTATAAATAATTTTTCGTCTGAACCGTGTTTAGACAATTTTTAACTGTGCGTGTGGAAAATTGCAGTCCATGTCCATAAGCAGCTAATTTGCCGAAGACGGTAGGATTGAGTAACTACAAACGAGCGATGGGAATGCATTACGTGATCTTAAAAATCGTATCTTGGTAGAACAGCTTTTATAGATCAATAAAAACTCATCTTCTGAACTACATTTGCTAAGCGATCTACTTGAACAACCACTATGGCCAATGGTCATGTTAGAGAACAGCGTTCTCCGCTCTTCTGGGAAAGAAATTTTCGACTGTGCTTGTATCATAGGAACTCTTGTCTTGAGACGAAATAATTCAAATTAAATTGCACAATTTTGTACAGATTTTATAATCCTGTCAGTGACGTGTTCTAAAAAAGTTCTACAAGGTTAATTTCCTAATCACTAAAAGATTCAATGACCATCTCTTTTTGAACACAATCAAAAAGATCTGATGCACTGTTAGCTCTACTGATAGTTTGGCTTATTTTTAATAGGCAATTTACTTACATAAATACTCTACGCAGTACATATTTATATGTACTAATGTACATACGTATTTTTGAAGCGGTTTCATTTCTGTGTTATCTTCAATTTCGTAATTGTGTATGTATGGTGTCGCTTTCATAGCTTCCCATTGAGTCAAATAAAGTTTTAGCGCTGGATCAGCGATTTTTCGTTTCCTCTTTGTGATGTCATCAGTTTCAAAATACATATTAAAGAGGCAGCTTTAAACATGGATACATACATTCAAGAATACATATGTACCTGCATATGTACGACTGTACATATAAAAGCTAATAAATGAAGAAATATGTGTAGATCTATCTCTCCACCACACATACATACATACATATGCATTCATGTATGCACATATTTAACTGTCCTATCCCTGTTTTGATTTTCTTAACTCAACATCTGGTTTCAATAGCATACGAATCCGCTAGTCAGGTAAAATTTCAGCATGAGGCTCGTAAAAAGAATGGGCGAAGACGTCGTTGGGGAATTTTTTTCGCATCGCAACAAACTCGACGGTGGGACACGAGCAGACGACCCCGAACCAAATACCAACACACAACAAAATAAAACACGAAAACGAAATGGGAAAACGAACGGGATCGTTCATAACTCTACCCTCGGTACGTACCCAACGCACACAGTGCGGTTGAGTACACACATACCACCAAGGAAGGCACAACGTTACCAGCGGCTTGCGGCGAATTCAGTTTTACAGAAACGAATCGATATTTCTATACCCCACCAAATAGTAGGAATTTTTTAGTTTAACTTTTGAAGTCCTTCCTTCCCAATTAGTTAATTGCGTTCCCAGAAGGCTACCAAATATTTATGAAATTATATATCATATCAAGTTCGGGTTTTAAAAGAGAAAAACCATGATATAAGGGTCTCGTTCCGACAAATAGCGATGGGACGCAAACATCGATATTATATCACTGCATGCCGATAGGCGGTGCGGTGCCAGTCGTTGCCCGCCCGCATTCCTCATACAACATCAAGAACAACATCAACAAATCATACATGACCACGCTTGTCGAGCATTTTGAGAGAGTGTTTTGTATTTATTGTTTGCTCCTTCTACATATGTATGTGTGTATGTATGTATGTATGTATATTTTAAGGAATAATTCTAAGCAAGCGGGGCCACTGTGTGGTCTCTAAAAACAAGCTATAACTCATGGAAAATGTCATGCGGATGTTGCTTCCCATCTACGCATACGCATTTCGATGTCGATAGTTATAGCTGGTATGTATGCATATGGCCATGCCATTGGGTAAGTTTCTTTGGCATGGTTTTGTTCATATGCAGATGCATAGGATGCATAGGTGGCTGTACAGCTGCGATCGGTTCTGATCTCGATATGATTTTATATTTGCCATTTTTTGTATTTCCACAGGAGAGAAAAAATCAAAAGACTGGAACATGGAGGTTGCACCCGACAACGATGTGGAGGTCATCAGTGAGTCGGAGGATGAGAACGCCGTGCAGGAAGTGAGTGAACCCTCCAAGAAGGCCGGCGATGTCACCCACAAAGATGTCCAAGTGCCTGCCAATAAAAGTGTCTCCCCCGAGAATGGCTCTGACGACGAGGTGGTTATAGTGCCCCTGGACCCAGCGATTGTCGCAAAGCAACAAGAAATTCTTTGCCGGTTGCCCTTCATCGAGGAGGTGAAGAAGACGTTTAGGTCCAGCTTGTCGCAGGGACAATTCTCACGACTTGAGGCTCTCATCCGCCTTGTAAAGCGAGAGTAAGTGCCTTTAATCGAATGTTTGTACCATTCGAAATTCCTTAACTTTTTCTTTCTCTATGCATAGCAATGTGACCATGTCGACACTACTGAAAATCGAGTCTATTATGAATAAGTTGGAAACGAAATTCGGTGAAGTAAGTAGCTGCCCGCAGTTTTTGTTATCCCCAACTTAATAAAACCGAATTGCAGCTGGTGCGGAATAGACAGGCCCGTGAGGCCAGTGGTGCCGCATCAGGTTCAAGACCCCTCGCTCAAAGACGCTTACTCCAGAAAAGTGAAGCGACAGAACGGGCCACAGCCAGAGAAAGCAGTGCCACCGAAACGCCTCAGACAAACAGCCACAAACAAAAGGATTCTGGCTCAAACACCGGACCGACAAAGCGCAAAGAGAAGCCCAACAGTGCTGCCCGTGGCGATACAATATCGATAAGCTCATCCGACAGTGAAAGTGAGGACTCCAAGGAATCGACAAACAGAAAAAGAAATCCTCAGGGCAAGTCCACAACCGGATCGGCTGGATCGAAAGCTTCGACTGCAGAACGGAAATCTGTCCCATCGCCTGCGAGTAAAGTGGCAGAGGAGCCAGCGCGCAAGTCCTTCGCCAGTAGTTCCCCCAGTTTGTCCTCGAACAAGCCACGCTATGATCGCACGCCTGAGCCCAAAAACACAGCGAATGCAGCAAAGACTCAAGGCACAAATTTGGATCACAAGAAACCAGAGACTTGCAAGTCGAATACCAGTCAAAAGCCCAAAGAGAAGGACAGACCTCCTCCTGAGGGACAAGGTGTACTGGCTGCCATACGGGCAGCCAGAGAACTGGACAGAGAACAGAAGCAGGCGCGAGAGTTAGCCAATAAAGAGCGGGCCAAAGCCAAAAGTTTACAATTCAATGCCAGCGCCAATTTGGGATTCTCGCGCCGATCCAATACAGATCCAGCAACAGCATTTACTCAGCAATCATCGCCTCTGTTTACACGTGGCTCCTCGGTTCAATGTGATGCAGACTCCACATCGGAGGCGGCAGTGCGTCAGTCAACACCAAACGAGAGGCACCAACACCAACAGCAGCAGCAGCAGCCCACAGAGCCATCGAATGGTACTCCTCCACCATCCTTATGTGATAAAGATACTGCCAGAAGTGAAACAGCAGCCCGTCCACTTTTGGAGGCACGCAAGAAGCTGGCGGCCATGCTGCTGGATAAGCTGGATCCCAACGGGGCTGGGGGAGTGGCGTGCACATTGCCGCTGGCATCGAACAGCATGGATCCGCGTGGAAGGAATCCCAATTACAAAAGTCAAGCCATGTCCACTGCCGTTTCGAATGTTCTGGGCTCCACACCAGTTCCTCCCCCTAGTGTCCCTCGCGATACATCACCAGTGCCGCCGGCGCCGACAATGAAGCCGGGCTCAGTATGGACCCCTATCCCAGGGCCAGGAAGCATTGGCTTTGCAAACCGGGGATCACGGGGTGCGCATGCGCGGCCTCCTCACAATCATCATGGGAATCAGCGGCCAGGATTCTCTGGCGGCGAGACGCAGTCCTCGGGACCTGCTCCCCGTATGCCCAATGACTTTCATGCTGTCGATCCAAGATCGAAGCCACGTGAAGCCACATGGGATCCACGTGAAGCAAGGGATCCTCGGGATCCACGTGAAGCAAGGGATCCTCGGGATCCACGCTGTCAGAATATGCCACGACCTAACCATCAGCATCAGCACCAGCATCAGCAGGGCTATTCTCAGGGCAACCCAGCGAACTGGCAATCATCCTCCTGGAATAACAATGAAACAAGTTCCTTTAATGGTGGACCTGGACCTGGGCCTGGATCTGGATCTGGGGCTGGTCCTGGATTTTTACCTGGACCTAGACCCAATTTAGTTGGAGGCAGCTTTCGGGGCGGTCATGAGGGCCGTGGTCGTGGCGGCGTCGGCGGAATTAACCATCGCTACATTCCACCAGGCGGCGGACGAGGACGAGGTGGAGGGCATTTTGATGTGGCGCGTACATATCGCGAGCATCGTGAGGCCAAGGCCAGGGCGGAGGCAGCAGCCGCTGCCAAGGTGGCCGAGGAGCAGCGCCTGGCGGACATCGAGAAGAAACGCCAGCTGGAGGCGGCCGAGAAGCAGCGACAACAGGAGGAGAGCGATTGTGCGGATGTACCGGTGGCGGTGACGGCACTGCCAGAGCTCCAGCTGGACACCTCCTATCGCAACGTCACATCGAATGGTCCGGCCAAGAAGATCGACTTTAGAATACCCAAAAAGACGCCTACAGTGGCAGCCACGACCACAGTGGGCCAGTCATTGGCCAATGGTAGAGGCGGGGAGAGCGCCAGCTCATCCACGAGTCCAACAACGAACAAATCCTGTAATGATAACGACAGAGAGAAGGATAAGAATACTGATAATGACATAGATCACCCTGCCACAGATAACAATTCACCAAGCGTGGAGAAGGAGAGCCCCAGGAACAGTCCTAAAGATGTGGAAAGACCTGAAAGAGCGGAAAAAAAGAGTAAATCTAAAGATCCGGATAAGAACAAAAGTAGATCTAAGGATGAGCATAAAACAAAAAAGGAAGAGGCGCAAGCCGCAAAGAAGGCCAAAAAGAAAAAGAACAAAAAGTTGGAGAAGTTGCAGAAGGAAAAGGACAACAATCGAACGGAAAAGAATGAACAAAAAGAAGCAAGCCACAAGAAAGCCACATCGTCCACGTCCACGTCCACGTCCTCCTCTTCATCTTCCTCCACCGTGGAGATTATCGAGAAACTGAAAAACTCAAATACTGAGCCACAAATCGATGGCGGCTTGTCTCATTCTTCCTCGGATAACGTGGAAAACGAGCCACCGATGATCTGTATGCCCTGTATGCCCCCGGACAAAGCCCCCGATGACAAACCGACAACGCCAGCGATACAGCCAGAGGACGCTGCATCGGAGATTGGATTGAAGAAATCAAAAACAGAGGCAGGACCAGAAAGGAAGCCCGATAATGCGACTGCCACTGCAACTGTGGCTGCTATCGACTCTGAGTCGGATGAAAAGGTACCCAAACTGAAGATTGTACTGGGTCCCAATGGCCACAGTACATTCCTATTTAACAAAGATGCCTCCCCGCTTCTCGAGGGCTTTGGACAGAAGTTTAAAGTAAACACCAATGGAGATGCAATATGGGAATGGGGATGGGGAGAAGCTGGGGATCACAGTTAACCCACAAATCCATAAGATTATGCGACGCCGTAGTTCGATGGCACCGACGGCCAGCCGTCCGCTGGTGGACAAGTCCTCGATTTTTGATGGCACCAGCCTGATGTATGAGGACCTCACTGAAAAGAAGCGCAAGGATGAGAAGCAATCGCAGATCGCACGCAATCTGGCGAATATGTTGGAGAAGACCAGCGACAATTGCCGAGTGTCCACCCAGAATATAATCACTGGAAAGCGGCGCACTCGCGGCATACCCGACTGTTCCTTTAACGAAACGATGCTCAGTCGGGATCGCTTCGGTTTGGTACAGATAACCAGGACGGCAAAGGCCACACCCGAAGAAAAGAAGTCTCGCTCCACGCCAGTGCCTCAAATAGAGACTGATACGGATGCTGATTCCATTTTGCGAACGGCTTCTCCGCCTGTGAAACGTAAGCGAGGCCGACCCCCCGCCAAAAGGCCACGCCTGGATATCGAACAGATTAGTGTTCCGACGGACGTGGGGGACTCCGATGAACAGTCTGTTGCGCCCACACCACCACCTCCAACACCACCACCGCAGACACCGCCTCCGCCACCGAACATGTCTGGTGGTGCACGGGGTGGCAAGCCGCGGGCACGCAAGAGGAACGAGCTGGAAAAGCTCACCGATTACATTTCGACGATGTACAACGGTGAGGATGTGATACGGGCCAGTGGCAGACGGGCATGCACGGTGCAACAGGCGCAACGGCGTTCGGTGACGCCAATGGAGTACCGAGAAACGACATCGCCATCGCCGTCTCCGTCTCCTTCCCCCATTCGTAGGCCCAGTCCTAGGGAGATTCGAAATGTGGCACGTCGCGGTCGACCCTTTGGTGCCCGTTCCAGAGACAGCGGCGGCATCAATCGAACATCAACAATCCTGCAAAGGGAAATGCGAGTGAGGAAATGTTGTGTGCGTCTGCGGCGGTTCCCAATGCCCCAGGACAATGCCCCAACGCCCCAACAGCCAACGCCACAGCGAAAGGAGCAGCAGAGGAGGCGAGCCCCAAGAACCGAACCGAATGTGAATCCCGAATGGAATGCCATGTCCATGGCGGCAATCGATTGTGTTGTGTGCCACAAGAAGATCGACAAGAGTCCCGCCGGCCACTATCTGCAGTGCCATAGGGAGAACTACATCTCCCGGCTGGCAACCGGCATGCTGGACAAACTGCGCGCTGGGCGGGGCAATCGTTTGCGGCTTTCGGCGGGTGGCGGCAACAAGAACAAGAATAAGTACGATTTCAATTGCCCCTTCTGCATGAAGTCCCTGTATAGCTTCACCTTCTACAACATTGCGTTGCATATGATTGAGCATACGGGCGAGTGCAAGCTCCAGTGCTCGGCGTGCCGGCAACCGATACGGCGGCAGGGTCTCATGAAGCGGCATCGCAAGCACTGTGCCCCCGAAGCCCAAATAGTTTCGGACAAGAGAACCTGCAGCCTGCCCCTCACACTGCATGTGTGTCCTTTGTGCGATTACGTGCAGACGGGACGGGAGAGAAGGGATTCCCATCTGGTGAAGCATCATCGGTTGAGCGAAGAGCTGATCGCAGCCATGGAACTGGAGAAGGTGACCCTCTGCTGTCGTTCCACCGATGACAAGGATCAAGAAACGGAAGCGGAAACGGCACCGAACATGTCCGTGCCGCAGGTGATATCGCGACGCAGCTCTGTGATGTGCACAAAGACTCCCAAAAAGAAGATTCGTTTCAAGAAACAGCAACGGAAGCCCGGCAGACCCCCCAAACAGGAGCAGGAGTCCCACGAGGAGGAGGAGGAGCAGATGGAGGAGCAGGAGGATGGTATGCCAGCGTCACAAGAGATGCAGGAGATCCAGGTGCCTCCACTAGAGGAGGATGCTGCCGCCGGGTCCATTTTGGTCGTCAACGAGTGCCTCTTGGACTTTGATCCCGAATATGAAATGGACGTAAAGCTGCTGCATGCCCAGCTGGAGGAGGATATCGATGAAGCGGAGGCAGAACTCTTACTGAACGAGCCCCTGCAGGAGAAGCCGGTGGAAGAGAAGCCAATTTTGGACGAGCTATTGCCAATGGAAGTGGAAGACGCCCCCACGCAGAAACCGTCAGAGAAGGAGGCGGCCTCCTGCTCAAAGGACACCGGGGAGACAGTAGTGCCTGCAGTTCCTGTGGAGGAGCCGATTCGTGGCCTGTCTGTGGATCCCCTCATGGGCATTGGCAGCGATGATTCCGGCAGTGAAATGGATGTGGATGTAGAAACCGCATCTGCATCCACATCCCCCAGAGAGACGAGCCCTGGCCCTAAGGATGTCGGTGATGATGATGCTGAAAACAAGAGGGTCCCCGAGGATTGGGTCGATCTTGTCGATTCTGGCTCTCAGGATGAGTCCCGCTCCAAGTCGATATTCCGGAAATTCAATCGTTTCTACTCCCGCCTCACCAACGGAACAGGTGGGGGTGGAGGTGGAGGAGCATCTGGTTCTGGTGGAGGGGGACCACGTCGCTCATCTTCCCGTACGACACAATCGAATGCCAGCAACAGCAGCGAGTGCGATCCGAGTGAATTGATGCCCGAAATGCGACCCCTGGAACCAGAGCCAGAAGCAAAAGCGGCACGGGAGATACGGATAAAGACAAAGACTGTACCGCTTTTGGCTCCAATTTCCGTTCCACCTGCAGCACCAGCGGCCGCTGCGCCACCTGCCCCCGAAGTAGAAGCAGCAGCTGCAGCAGAAGTACCGGCACCAGTGGACAACACACCAATGTCGGCATTCACGCGCGTGGAGAACGTGGCGTACCGCATGAGGGAGGCCATGGTGCCGCCGAGTGCCGTCTACTGCTGCCTGTATCCCGGCTGTACGTTTCTCTTCTCGAACGAGCGCGAGGGCCTAGAGCGACACTTTGACATCGAGCATCCGCAGGTGTCCTGGAGCGGTAGCTGTTTCACCTGCATCACCCAGGACCAGACAAAGGCGATGCTGACGCCACCGCGCAGCATTGGGGATGAGCTGCGTCACCTTTCCCAGAAGCATATGTCAGCAGCTGCAGCGAATTCACCCGAGAAGCTGGCCGTGGCCAAGCCTGCACTGCCCAAGCTTCGAGTGCGTCGCTTCAGTGGCGATCTACTCACGGAAGCTGCAAAGCAAGTCGAGCAGGAACAGCCGCAACAGCAACAGGCAAATGTCTCCACCATCCAATTGGATGTGGATGGGGATACACTAGCCAATGGGATGCTCAGGGATCTGTTGAAGGCCACGCCACGACCGATCAACCAGCAGGTGGACTTTAATGCCGCCGGACTGGGGGAGTTTCTTTGCTCCAAGCCTGCCACTCCGCCTGCATCGTCTGCCAGGGAAACAGAAACGCTAGCCACAACGGCAGTAGGTGGGAATGGCAATGGAAATGGAGGGCTGTACAATAATAAGGAAAATACGGGCCTACAAATCGTGACTGTGTGCCATTTGGATGCGTTGCACAATGGCCAGCCTCAGAATGGACCAGTAGAACCCGCCGCATTGCCCACAGTCCTGCCTGAGCCTCTGGCCACTGTCAACAATGGGCATTTTATGGTCACACAAAGCATCTCTGAGAATCACATCAACATTTGCCTGGAGCCTACAGCAGCGGAAAAGGGAGCAACAGGAGCAGGAGCACCAACAACAGCAGGCCCCATCCGACTGATTGAGATCGAGGATGGTGGCCGCAATTGTAGCCATTTATCGCAGGATCGTTTCCGTTGTATGGCCGTTGGATGCGGCTATTGTGCCCACACAGTGATGTGCATAAGGGAGCACATGAATTTCCATCGTTTTAGTTTTGGGAGCACCAACTACCTGAACTGCGCATACTGTACCCACGTGGCCACCGATGTGGATGACTATGTGCGACATGGCGTCTATGTGCATGGCCTGGCGCCGCGCCATGAGCTGCAAGCAGCTCCCACAAGGCCGGTCACGGAAATGTCTGTTAGCCAGAAGATACGTGAGGCGCTCAGCCAGCGAAGGAATGCATTTCCAGCAGCAGTTGCAACGGCAGTGCCAGCGACAGCGGAGGAGCAGCCATCAAGCAGTTCAGTGCAGGTACAGGAAAACGGCCTGGAAACGGCTCCAGACAGAGCCCATGCAGATGGCTCAAATGGAGGAGTAACCATTTCCAAAGCATTAGCCGATTATCTAGAGCCCACAGGATATGCGGGTGAGTGCTGGCAAAAACAATATAATAGTAAGATGAGTAACGCCCATACATTTAAATTTCCAAATGCAAGCCAGGCACCATCTTGCTCGCACAAATTTGAGAGCGTACAAATCTAACGAGAAGAAACGTTGTAAGTCGCTTCTATGCCCGCGACTCTACTTTTATACTCATATTCAGTCAGTATACATATATGTGAGATTATGATTTATGTGGAATTTTTAGATATTTAACAGTTTAAATCTACATTTAAAACGTAGATTATGCATCTAAAATGTAGATTATACATCTACAATGTAGATTCTACATCTCCTCCGCCAGAGGTCGAGTCAGAGTGTGTGAGCGAGAGATAGAATGAGTATGAATGATCCAGATTCCGCAATCTGATAGATATGGTCATTCTCTGCGATATTCGCTTTATTGGTTGGTTTCTCGTATTTTTAAAATTGTGCATGCTACAGATGTGGCAGGAAATACACTTGAGCCAATGTGATATCACATGAGTCTGGAAACAACATTTGGTTTCTCTAGCTCTTATAGTCTCTGAGAACTATGGGCTCATAAAGACGGACAGACGGACGGACGGACAGACAGGGCTATATTGACTCTGCTATTGATACTCTGTATTCATATTTAATATCCTAATATTTTATATTAATTTAAATATTTAGTAGCTGCTTAAAGTCGCGAAAATATAAAAAAAAAAAATTAGAACAGAAAAATTTGTTTCCTTGCCAAGGAGGTTACTTTTCACCCCACCTAGTAGACCGCGATTGGTGTGTCACCAATTGACCAAATATACAGTTGTGTCTATTACCCACACCAGGCCCACCAAATGAAATGGACCACGCACTCCATTTACAGCACATATGTTACAGGGAACGGGGCGGAGTCCAGGCCGCGGCCCGGGGACAGGGCCACGACGGGGTCCAAGAGGGGGGGGGGGGCCCCTGTATATGCGTATGTATATATGCGACGACAGAAAAGTGCGAGAGATTTCAAAGGCATGCAAGTGCTGGACCAGATCATGACCATTTGCGAAAGCACGTTAGGGCAGACGGACCGAATTGCCCGTGCCCTACGCGATGCCACGAATAGATAGAGAGAGAGGAGATGGAGAGAGTGATAGCGAAAGGCGATAGAAAGAAAGGTGCGAGACGAAAGAACGGTTGAAACGGCTATTACAGTGAGGGAGCGTGTAGCTACATATGTACATGTAGATTACAATTAGGTACAGTGGGCAGTAAAAATAACGAACAAATAACAGGATTTACTTTAAGGCTGCACCACTGACTATAAATACTGAATAATGCTCGGCTGGGAGACCAATCAATGTTAGAACGATTTTTTGGAATAAATTTTCTTTTCTTTTCTTTTTAAAAGAGTTATTAGTAAATATGACTAAAACAAAACCACCAAAAAAAATACCGAAAAAGTGAAAGTTTGCTTATTTGAATAGGTTTACACATCAAAGTTAATGAAATTATATGTCAATTGGGTAGATGGATATGTTTTCTTATAGAAATTTAATTTTTGGTCTTGGTGGACCTCGTCAGAGTTCCGCTGAATGGTCAATCAGTACCGAAAAATAAAATGTTCAAATTCATCGTATTTTTTTGTGCTTCTATTTTTCGTACGTTCGCGACCGCATGTTTTTAGCAATTATTATTGAAACTAAAACTTGATGGATGATTTGCACTAAGCATAGAGCTAAAAAAAAATGCTATTGAAACGCAAAAAAAAGTCCGGGAAAGTTGTTGTTTTCTATCTTTTTTGTGCATTAAAAGCGTGCGAACGTACGTTCGCGACCTGCGGATATGCATGCATACGGGCCTCAAAAATATTTGCTTATTGACATTTAATTACCCTAATGACAATATATATGTAGTATAATGTGCGAATACTCGTACATTCTTTATTAAAATCAAACAACATATAAAGGATATATGTACATAAGAGTTTCTTTATATTAGAGCGTAAACAGTGTATACAAATTCTCAAGTATATTGGGTATATTTCGACAGCGCTGTTAAAAAAAGTACATATGTATGCATGCAAGCAGATGTCGATTTCTTGAGAATACCGGTGCACACATACACTCGTCGGCTGCCGCTGAATGCATACGCTTTTTAACACAATTTCAGACAGAACAGAATTGAGTGCCAAAAAAATGTATGCGCGTTACTCATCTCAGTATTTATTATGTCTTTGGAGCTGGAGATCCAACCCCTACTATTACATCCGCTAATCTTCTGCTTTAATCCTCAGACGAAAGGCTGTATGAATGTCCCGAGAGGATCTGCGGGGCCCGACTGACGAGCGAATCGTTTGTCAATCACATCCTCTATCACATACGCAGCTCCAGCTCCCGCAGGGAAACGGAGCTGGTTAAGTGTCGATATTGTCGGACGTTGGAGACGCCGCCAATGCTGCGGCAGCATGTGCTGATACATCATGCGCGGCATAGGTACATCTGCAGCCTGTGCCTGGAGACGGCCACCAGCAAGGAAATGCTGATATTCCATGTGAAGCAGAGCCATCCGCAGGTGCTCGGCCTGTCCAATCACTCCTTCAAGGTGATTAAAGTCTATCTGCAGGAAAGCAACGCCCTGAGGGCCGTCCAAGGTCAAACGGTGTGCCATGTGGTTGGGGTCCTGATGCCCTTCGAGCACGAACAGCTGCAGGCCATGAAGCACAAGGTGATCCGCGAACTAAAGCTGCGCGAGGCTGGCACAAAGAATGTCTTTCGCTCTTCGGAGGCGAAGCTGCTGCCCAGCGGCGACACTGTGCTGACAGTGTCGCTGCATTGCGCCGAGTGTCTGTTTGCCAGCAAAGAGGTTGTGGACATGCAGCGGCACCTGGCCATGCACAAGCTGCAGGCGATCAATGCATTCGTAGAATCACAACGCCTTCTGCAGGCACAGAATAGCAGTCCCGAAAAGCAGACCAACCCCGAGATTCCCGAGCCAACTCCGGTGGGAGGAGATGTGGCCGCCGCCGCTGTGGGGGGTCAGCATAAAGTGGTCAATCCGTATACGCTGTACGTACCGTCAGAGGGTCGCTTAGTCTGCGGCGCATTGAGCTGCGGCACACAGCTGCCATCGACGGAGGCCCTCTGCGAGCACATGTCGAAGCGTCACCAGTACACGGAAGTGCTGTGGTGCACCTTCTGCCGCAGCCGTCAGCCCAACAAGATGTCCATACCCAAGTACTTGAAGCATCTGCTCAGCCACAAGCGTCACATCTATCAGTGCGGTTGCTGCGGCCGCAGCAATCCCGAGCGTCATGTCATTGAACGGCACATCATTGATCGTCACCCAAATCACAATGTGGATGTGGTGATTCTCAGGCAGGAGGCTAATGCAAATGCACGGCTAAAGACCTCAGCACGATGGATCAAATTGCGTGAGTACCGATCCCCCGATACCCGACGATTGAATTGAATGAGACGATTCCCTTTACAGCCAAGCTTTCGAAGAACCCAAATCACAATCAATTCATCTGTAATCTGTGCCAGCACATGGACAATTCAATGGAGAAGATACGCGGACATGTGGAGGCTGTGCATGCCATTAAGCATCAGTACATCTGCTCTGTGGAGCAGTGTCCTTTTGGGTCAATGGATGCCGTCACCGCCATTCAGCACATGTTGAGTGATCATCCTGGTGTGGAGGTGCAGCCAGCGCATATCTATCAACGCACTCTGTCGCGGGTAAGGCAAACAATTGGCTTCTACTGCTGCCAGTGTCGGCTGGCCTTTAGCAGCTTCCAGCGGATTGTGTCCCATCTGAAGGAGTGCCATGAGTGCCTCGGCCAGTACAAGTGCCCGCATTGCATGTACAATTGCCAGCACGAGCGTGGCGTTATCACGCACATAGTTGAAGAGCATCCGGGCCTCACTGGGCTGGCGGAGTGCCAGTTTCTGCGCGTGTTTAACGATCTGCCCGATAAGATGGCCTGGGCCGAGGCCCATCCGATTGAGGACGCACAGCAGGACAATCAGCAGCAGGAGCAGCAGCAGCAGCAGCAGCCGCGACAGGAGGAGGAAGATCAAGACGAGGATCCAGACCAAGAGGAGGACGAGGAGCCAGAGGAGCAGGAAATGCAGCAACCCTCCCTCGCTGCCAATTCAAAGATCAGTGAGGTGATCGATCTCATCGATTCGGACGATGAAGCGCAGACAGCCATCTCAGAGCAGGATAAGGACCTGAACAACTCCAATTCGGGTAATAATTTCTATGTGTTCTGCTGCGCCCATTGTGGGGGCTCCGCACGAAATCTGATGCAACTGAAAGCCCACCAGCGCCAGTCGCATCCGAATCGATCTTTTATATTCCGCGTGCAGCCGATATTGCTGTGCTGCATGTGCAAGTCCTTCAAAAGCAATGCCAAGGAGCTACGCGACCATCTGATTGTATCGCATCGACGTACCCGCCTGACCAAGACGCTCGGCTGTGATGTGCGGCGGCCCAAGGAGTGCGGTTTCTGCGATTACCAATACCCGAGCTGGGAGAATCTCAGCAACCACATGGATAAGGCGGGCCACCAGATAAATGATCTCAAGAATGTGACCGAAGCGGGCCTGGAGGTGCTGCTAAAGCTGAACCGGAGCGAAAGCGGCGCCGAATATTATCAGATGTGCAGCCTGTGCAAGAAGGTACTGCCCGATCAGATAGCGATGTACCATCACGGACAGCAGGAGCACGCCAATCAGGGTTTCTGCTTCACGAACGTCCATCCGCTGGTCTATCACTGCTTCTACTGTGTGTTCACCTCGCTGGAGGAGATGGTCTCGCTGCGGCACATGATCACCCACTTTGAGGGCTTCCAGAAGTGCCACTTTTGCCAGATGCCCCAGCCTGGTGGCTTCGAGCAGTACATCCAGCACTGCTATACGAACCATCACGACCAGGTTGGTCGCTTCCGGCAAGTGTACGCGTACCCGGTGATATTGCGATACCTCCTGCAAACGCCGTACCAATTCCAGAACGGCCTAATCATCAACAAGAGCAGTCTGCTCAACACACGCTACAAGAACGATACGCTGATTCGCCAGCTGTACGAAGAGCTGATGGCCCGGGCGGAACGTCCGCCTATTCCCCGGATTCATATAGGTCTGAAGAACTCAACACCCATCGGTATACACGGGATGGAGCCTGTGCCAAAAAAAGCCAAGATCATCAAGCGACGCCAGACCCTGGGTCCCGATGAGCTAACCAGGGTGAGGCTTTTGGATGAACAAAGCCTCAATCCATTACCAGCAACAGCTGCTGCGCTGGCCCCAAGCACAAACCCAGCCGAAGCTCTCAGCGGCAGATCAGCGAATATCAGCTGGACGACCTCGTTTACGGGAGCTAATCCTATACCTCCTCTGCAGCAGCCGCCATCAGTAGCAGCAACAGAAGCGGCAGCTGCAGCAATAGCCTCTAATCGGAAGACTACAGCTGGAGTACAGGAAAAAATAATAAGGAACCTTAAGCGACGCAACAGCGTTGTGGTCTTTAGTCGTCCCTAGGGATGTCTCGCATATCCCACATACCCATGCCCGACTATTACTATTAGGATTACGCTTTAAGATTATACACACATACATAGTTATAGATAAGATTTGCCATTTCTGAAACGGCCTCAAGTCACGCTGCCTCATTACACGCGTGAGATGTTGTGCTAGTTCCAAACTAAAAAAAACATTAAATTTATATTCCTGCCTAACTTATTTGTTTGCTCTTAAGAAAGATGAGAATTATTGCTACATTTGTAAGCTGAGTGTAAAGTAAACCAAGCTATTCCAAAGCGATCATTATGAGAGAAAGTGAGACAAACATTCGGGGAAAGAAAAGATTATTAGGTCGAAAAACAATGCCCATTAAATTAAACTAGTGTTTAAGGAGTACATGTATACCCAAAGAAATAATTATTATATATATTATTATTATTCCTCACTGATGACACGCTCCATTGTATTGCAACTGAAAGGTGGGAACTTCCTGGCCCTGACGCTGTCGGACACTGGCGCATCGCAGTTGATTGTGGTACTCGCAGGGCGTGGCATAGGTCACCAGCTGATGGTTGCGCAGTGCACACACGGGACGGTAGTAGCGCGGGCAGCTGTATTCGCAGCTATCCTCATCCTCATCCACAGGGTTTTCGGCAGCTTTCAGCAGCAGCAGCTGCTCTTCATCGTCGTTGTCATCCTCCTCATCGTCTGGCTCCACCGAATAATCATCATATCCATCGTTATCCATCCATTGCTCCTCCACAGATGTGTGCCTGGTTTGCACCACTTTGCCCAAGGATATGGATTGCTGGGCGATTACAATGAAAATGGACAGGAAAAATATAAAACGCATGTCTCTGCGTGTGCTTTTTGTGCGTGCGTCACTCGACTGCAGACTGGGTACTGGAGACTGGCTGGCTTCCTGGCGTCGTTCCTAGTCTTAAATGCTTCTTAAATACGACAACACCATTTGCTGTAGCTCGCCCCCACAGTTGTGCAAATAGTTGGAAACTATGACGAAGTTCGTGATAAAGCCGCTAAAGACTGAATAGAACATGAATATTCAGTATATCAAGGTCAGCGGCAACCTGTTGTCGTCTTAGATTATAGCTTGAAGAAGAACGAACGGTTTGGTTCCACACAGAACTCATGGAATGTATTTGCAGGCGTAGAGCTTAGAGCTCGAATTAAAAATTTTAAAAATACTAAAAGATAATAATTCAAATTATTGTGTGAGTGCGCATCTATATCTCATCCATGTAGCCATGCTCATAGGCGTGACGCACCACCTTGAAGATCTCATGGTTGGCCACGTCACCGCCAATATCGAGCGACAGCTGATGGAAGGCCGGACTATGTAGGTCCGTCTCAAAGAGCCTGGAGAGCTCCGCACAGTCCGTATCATTGCTTATCAGCCAGGGCAGGAAATGCATGACGACCATTGCCCCATAGAAGGCGTACCGCTTGAAGTGAGCCTCGAAGCGCTCAAAGCTGTGCGGGGACAAGAGAGAGTTAGTGCCGAATGCCAATGCCAATGCCAACACCCTTGGGGGTGTTCCATCACACCCACCTGTAGTCGGCCAGCAGCTGCTGCACCCGCTCCTCGGAGAGCTCGTCCTGGTTACGCTGCAGCACCAGCTCCAGCATTTCGATCATTTTCTTGTGGTACTCCTTCAGGAGATCGGAAAAAATTACCTCACGCTCGTCGGCGGGCGTGTTCATGTACATGAAGAAGCTGAGATCGATGGCCGTGGTGCTGTAACGCAGCTCCTGGAAATCGATGGTCTTGATGTTGTCCACCGTGCCAGCGGTGTCATAGTGGAAAAGCACATTGTTTCGGTTGTAGTCGCCGTGCAGGAACGTGCAAAAGTGACTGTCCGGCTGCGACTCATCGTAGGACGACGTGCGTATACGCTCTAAGAGCTGCACCGGCTGGGCAAAGTATTTCTCACGCAGTCGCTCCAGGGCTGCGGCAAAGCCCTCATCTCGCTCCGGCACCAGCAGCTGCTCCTTCTGGCGATCGTAGAAACCATAGAAGCGGTCAAAGGCTACGCGATAGAGCACTTCAAAGAGGCCCTTGCCAGTGTCGCTGGTAAATGGCATTGGCACGAGACCAGAGCGCAGGCGCGCATACACTTGAGGCTGAAGGATGCGCGTGGCATAGCCGAGGGCATGGAAGGGGCCTAGCAGGCCAGTCATGGCCTCCAGATGATCACGGCGCAGGACGAGACGAGGGCCCAGCTCATAGCCATCTCCCTTGAGGTGCTTCAGAGCCAGCACTGACTCGCAACTGCCGCTCAGGCCTGCGAATTCAGAATAAATCGATCACTCAATACACAATGTGCCCGGCCTTACCATCGATCTGTCCGTATCGGGCGACATAGGAGCGCGCCACCCAGCCGGTGACCACATCGCTGCTGAGATGGCTGCTGCGCAACAGGTGCTCGTAGGCGGGCAGGATCTCGGAGTACGCGAATACCTCGTTGGCGAACTGACTGTACGAGTAGCTCGATTTCCGGAACTGTTCCGTTCCCTTCATGAACTTGACCAGAACCACCTCCTTCTGCTTTCTATCGGCTATCTCCAGCTCCAGCTGCACGGTGTATACGGCGGACATGAACCCGTCCAGCCCAGTGGAGCACTCTACGCTGTGCGACACCAAGGACGCACCCGATCCAAAGTACTTAAAGATGTCGTACACCAAGTACCGCTCAATGTAGTCCAATTGCTGTTGAGTGGTTGACATTGTTTCCTCCTGCAATTGAAAAAGTTGAGTGTCCTAGTCTTTTTTTGTCGTCAGTTTTTTGACCCCTTGGCTATTTCTCTCTCTCTCTCTGTCGCTCTTACGTTGTTACTGCAATAATGGCGGTCAGAAGGCGACTGTTGCAGCAAATGGGAGCGCTGGCTTTATATGCGTACATACATATATGTAGAGCAATAAATTATAGTAATCACTATGATCTTGATGAAATTTAATTAAGATACACGTATCCCGCTATCCCTCCACGGAGAGCAACAACAATTTTGTTTAGAGTATTTGAATATTTCACAGCTGTGTGATGTGACTATCGGACTATCGACTATTGCTTGGCGGCTGTAATTGTCATGGCAATTGTCTGGCGTTGTTCGTTTTAATGAAAATTATATTTAATTAAATCAAACTAATACTCTGTTTTTGTAGCTGGAATAATTGCCAAGCAATTCTTGTCACATTCTTGTTGCGGCTGTGACGTAAAAATACTCGTGACAAGTAGCAGGTAAGCACTGAACTCCCAGCCCTGGTGTGCACATAACAATAACACTGTCAGCCGCTTCCAGATTGCAGATTCTAATCTTTATTTATAATATTATTGGTTAAAAATCTTAAGCAACGTAACACAATGGGTAAGTCAGGGGCGGACTTTATCCCGAACCGACAGCGGCCTGTTCCTCTTTTAATCCCCAACCCCAATCGGAAGCAAAGACGCTCTAAGATTTTGTTTTTATTTAAAAATGTTAAATTACAAAAAGTTTGTATCACAATTAGTATTATTTTTGTTTCATCCATTTTCGCTGTCGTTGTGGTTTAATAGAAATGTTGTAAATTCAATGGATCGATTGCGATCGATCGATCGTGTGATGGAAGCCGTGGGTAAATCGGGCAAAGGTGCCTCCATCCAGCCGCCCAGCAGCCCAGCATGATTCAATGGGCATGACGTCGCTTGCCTGTGATTTGGGCGGGTGGTTGAAGGGGCGGGCGAAAGGGTATTAGTGAAACGAAATCAAAGGGATCGAATACTGCTACTCACGACCATTACAGTGGCGACCGTAGAAGCCGGGATGGCACTTGCACTTCTTGTTCGTTATACAGGTGCCGTTGCGGCACTTGCAGATGGAGCGTTGCTTGCGTCCTATCTCGCAGTGCATGCCGCTCAGTCCGTTCGTGCATCGACACATGTTGTTGCCGATGCAGCGGCCTCCATTCTGGCAGGGAATCACACATTTGGCTGCAACAGCCCAGGGCCACAGGAAAGTTGGGACATTAAGTCACACAGACACATTACACAGAGGATAGCTTATACTCACAGTACTCGCAGTGCAGGCCATAGTATCCCTTGGAGCACTGGCATTTGTCCTTCTGTATGCACTTGCCTCCATTCAAGCACTTCTCCTTGCAAATACCTAGAGAGAAAAGATAGAGCGTGACCGCCAATGATTAACACATTATTTCAATCTTCTTCCTTTGCAGCCCCAATGCTGAGGAGCGTTCTCTTTCGGCCGGAAACCCGGCTGCTGTCTGTGCGATGCCTCAGCAACAGAAACGCAGCAGGATTTGAAGCTGGAGCTGGCAACCGCCCGCGTCCACGTGCCAATGCCCTGACCGATGAGATAATACGCGTCGATCATGCCGGAGAACTGGGCGCCGATCGCATCTACGCCGGCCAAATGGCTATTCTAGGGAACGGGCCCATGGGCAAGACCATTGGACATATGTGGGAGCAGGAGAAGTGCCATCGTGCCCAATTCGAGCAGCTCATTCAGCAGCATCGAGTCCGTCCCACAGTCATGACGCCCATCTGGAATGTGGCCGGGTTTGTTCTGGGCGCCGGTACCGCATTAATGGGCGAGAAGGCGGCAATGGCATGCACCGTGGCAGTGGAGACAGTCATTGTGGAGCACTACAATGATCAGCTGCGTCAGATTATGGAATCACCGAATCCCGACAAGGTAGGGGCATATCATTATGCTACACTTATGCCAACTAAATCGATGCTGAATTATCTGCAGGAATTGCTGGAGACAATCACAAAGTTTCGGGACGAGGAGCAGGAGCACCACGACACCGGCATCGATTGCGGTGCAGAGCAAGCGCCCTTCTATAAGGCAATGACCGAAGTCATCAAGTTCGGCTGCAAGACGGCCATTGCCATATCGAAGAAGATCTAGGATATACATATATACATTTTCCACTTTTTGTAAATACTGTGCACAGAATTAGGACCGAAAGTTATCTGTCTGTCTGACGTCTACCCTCCACCCTCTACCCTGTACCCTGTACCCTGTCGAACCCACGCTAAGCATTAAAGATAGACTGAATCGTTAAACTGTTGTATAGTGTACTACTCACCACCTTCGCACTGGGTGCCCTGATAGCCCTCCGGACAGGTGCAGACGGACGGTGCCGTGCAATTGCCACCGTTTAGGCATTGCGGGAAACAGAAGGCCGTCTCGCAGTACATACCAGTGTAGCCCACATGGCACTTGCAGATGTGATGCTCGTTGCAGTAGCCATTCTTGCCGCACTTCAAACTGCATTCTGGATCGGGAGCTTAAGTTTTTTTAGTTTAGTTCCATCGTTCACAATACAACACTCAAAAACATTCAACATTTAACATAAATCGCTGAGAGCTAGTCCCTCAAATTAAACAGCGGCCCCACAAAGGCACAAAGGACGAAGAAGCATACGACAGTCCAGAGAGATGGATATGGATTTGATGGATGATGGATACAAAAGCGGTTCGGGCATGAAAATGTTCGAATGAACCTTTCTATATGTGAATCCCATTTGAATTTAAACTAGAAAATATTACTTAAAAGAGTAAAGAACAGAAGAAAGGAGACTTGAACTATGTGTAAGTGTAAGGATTCGCATAGAAATGTATGCTATGCTATGTATATAGCTCTATAGTATTTATATGTAATATTAATCATCATCTATCCGTGATATCCGTCTGTCTGTTAGTCTGCTTGTAGCTCTCTATTTTCAAAGATATCTTACTGTGATATCCTACTGAGAACAAACATGGACATTGACGCAGGTTTGGTATAGTAGAAAATGGATGGGGTGGATGGTGGATTGGAGTGGATTTAAGCTTAAGACGATAGGGCGATATATATTACAAGGGGTAGAATGTGGAAGGAAGAATGGAGAACGGAGAATGAAATGTGGCATTGGAAGGAAATGTGATGGTGAATGGCATGCATGGCTCAATGATAGATGGGATCAATGGGCGAGTATGTGATGCGTGTGATGCATGTATTTTTCTATATATTTCTATTCTAAGTAGAGGCTACAATTACACTAGATAAAAAGCATTTTGGTTGATATATCATATACACTACCTTGCAAAGTTGTTAGTGAAGTAGGGTTGGAAGCGTCTATATCATACACACCTCTATGGGCGCATTCCTTTTTGAAGTTGAGGCGAATGGGTGTGCCGGAGAGCGGCTTGTTGTTGCGCGTCTGGATCTTGAGGCCCACATTGAAGGAGGCGGTGCCCGAGCTGTTGCCAGTGCAGGGCAGGAATATGCTAAAATCTAGCTTGGAGTGAGGTTCGTTTGCCGGATCGGATCATTTTGCGTGGCCTCCATGTACATACGTGAGCCGTGAGACATGAATAACATAACTTACTTTTCTGCTCCTGCGGTATCCGTCCGCTCTTGCGGATCGACAGCGTTGGCGCCTTCAGGATGCTGTCGTCCATCGTCTGCAGCCGATCAAAGTCATAGAAGTACTTGCGTCTGCCCGACTTCCACGTAAAGTTCACGTAGTTCACCTCGGACGGTATCACCAGAAAGTTGTACAGTGTCGTGTCCCTCAGGTCGTTCGTCACCAGGCTGTTGTGTATGGCATAGATGCGATCCGAGTAGCCCTGCGGAAAGTAAAGAGCTACAAGGGGCAGGGATTCATGGATACATGGACACATGAGCATGGATATTTCCAGGGAAGGGGCATGCATGCATGCTCACCGCTCAGCATCTTCAGCTGCTGCTCATTGATCCACAACGAGATGCCGTTCTCCTCCATCCGATTGTGGCGATTGTTGCCATTCCCATTCCCATTGCCGTTGCCGCCCTGCTGTTTCTTCCTTTGGCCCCGGCGCGGTCCATGGCCAATGCTCGCCTCGTTCTCCGTGAAGCTGTCGATGCCGTCACTAGTATTGCTGCCGTGGTTCTCCTCCGAACTTGAGGAGTCAGCCCTTCTGTTGTTGTTATTGTTGTTGTTGCTATTGCTATTGCGATTGTGGTGCTGCCGACACTCGAGCTGTCCGATGCAGAGCAAGGTGTGGACAATCAGCACCAGATAGAACCACTTGACCAGGCACCCAAAGCTCTGTTGTGTCATATTTCCCTCCTTTATGCGAGCCAATGAAAACAAACAATTGGAAATTAATAAGAAAGATGCGGCTAGCTATGGGTTCCGTTCCCGATTCAGACACTGCCCCATCTCCGATATCCATTCCGGGCATAGGCATGCATGGTGTTTATTTATCTTTGGCCATATTTACAGACCCAGACCCTCTAGCGTGCTATTTGCGTTTCGGATTCGCTACTTTGGGTTGGGCAAATGATTTCTATTTATGGACGGGGGCAAGCGTTGCATACTGCATACCATCCACAAGAACTACTACTAAGATCGTTCAGATCTATGATTTATATGCATTTCTTAGTTAAATACGAAGATGCTATAAGGGATAGAATGATTTGGAGTACAGTGTGGGCTCGGAAACGCTTCCATCTGGGTGTTACACAGATCTACACAAATCTAATATATCCTTAGAGTTTTTTTGCATGCATAAATATTAAAATAATGCAGCATCTATCCATCTATTGTAATAGGGATTAATGTCACACTAATTTCTCACATATGTTATGTACGAGTACGAGTATGTGTATTCCAATGTACGAGTATGGAGCCCCAATTCTAAATCCAGCTACAGTACAGACTTCAGATGCCGAAGAGCAAGAGAGATAAGACCGTAGGGTGAGAGGGTGAGCGAGCAGGTACAAAAATGTTAGCACTTTGGCTGGTGTGAAGTTACCCAAGTCAACGACAAGGCCCTTCAGACAGAAGGCCAGACGATGCAGCACAAACGACAAGTGAGTGGACAGGCGGAGCGGACAGTTGGACGGACTGAAGGAAGGCAGCGCACCGGACCAAACGATCGATCGAGCAGCCACTAATCGTTGTCTGCCCATCACGTATGAATGGGCTGAGGATGAAGCTGGCAAAGCGAGAGAGAAACGATGAGATGACGGGCAAGAAACAAGTTAAGCTGTCTTAATAAGATCAAACATGGCGATTATGGGGAATTACTTGGAGATAATGACATCTTGGACTTGGACTTAGCTCCCAACAAACTCTACACAGAACATGGGGACAGTGGATAATGATGGAGAGTGGATAAATCAGTAAAGAGCAAAGAGTAGAGTGTGCTAGCCTACTCCCTGGCAAATGATTTTATTAAGTGAACTAATTGGTATTTCCCAGACCCCAACTGACTGCTCCACCCACGTAATTGCATTTTTTGGGTGAGTTTCGTCTTGGGGTGGACTCATCAAGTGTTTGTAGACGGAAATGCTTGCTATATACATATGTATGTACATATGTACATACATGCATATGTAATTAATCGTACAACGCAATATACGATTATTGTATGACACAACCTGAACGACACACGACATCGATCGAGATCTGAATTGGGCTGAATCGGCTCCAAGTCCATATAATTCCATCATTTGTTTTGAAATTATTTATTTCTATTTCTTACTAATTAAAGCACGAATGATAAGGGAACCGGACCGGCGCAACGGCGATCTGGCTGTGCACGAGAGCATAGATAGGCCGGCAGGCACATGGTCAATCGGAATCCAAATCGGAATCAAAGCTACATTAGTATGTGCCATAATCGAAATCACAATCCCCATAAGAGGAATGGAATGGGAAATAAAATCGTATTGGGAACTCAAAATATGTATAGGGAGGAGGAGATTGGGCCTCGATTTTGGATGTCTTTGATCTTCATGGCATTCAGTGAAGGGGAAATCCTACGAAAATATGTACGCCTTGAAAGTAACGGTTCTGTATATAGCACAGTTTTTATTTTAATTCGTATGTACATATGTGTATTTTGTATGTACGTGTATACAGGCATATTTATGTACATATGTATGTATGTATCATGTATCATACATATATCATGTCACTGTACCAGCAGCAGTTCAGGTGCAATCGCATCGTAAGAGGAGGAGGAGGGCTATTATCAAACCCCATATCTGGTCGATGGAATGAAGATCTTCATCTCCCATGAGACGATGTTTTGTCGTCAACGATGTAATTGCTTTAGGCCAGAGGGGAGCCCCCAGGGGCAGTCGGGTCGGACAACAAGACAAAAAGGGACACAGATTAACATTTTAGCGTGAAAGCAACAAAAACAAAAGGCACCAACAGAAGCAGCGGACTCAGCGACAGCGACAGCACTAGCCAAGTTAGTGACCAAGGTATATTCGATGGAGGGTAAGGACTTCCTCCCTTAGAGAAAAAAAAACAGAACTAAATGGGCATTAAGTGTGCAGATAATGAGAGAGACAGAGAGAAACTGCCAAAATAAATTAAAAATGCTAGCCCGAGAGCGGGACCGAATTACCTTCGATTAAATATACCCTGGACGGCAGTAGCCAAGCGAAGGCAGTGCAGCAGCAGAGCAACAATCGAGTGGGAACAGCAGCAGCGGAAACAAAAGCAGGGGGAGAGTGGCAGAGCCAGAAGCAGCTACAGCAACAACAATTTGTTAGCTCTTTACGATTATTGCCTTTCTCACACCTTATTACCAGGAAAATAAAGAAGCAGGCAACAACAAATAGGCGACGATGAAATGTGAAAATAAAGAAACACAAAACACGGCACAAGATACGCACAACAACAACAACAAAAAGTAAATATATAAAAAACAAGAACAAGAAGCTGCCCTCCTGTCCTCCTGCCTCCTAGTCAGTGTGACGTCCAGTAGGAGCAGGAGCGTGCGGGAGTTGAAGAGGAAGAGGCACGCGGACCGACAGACACTCCAAATCGAACCATACCCGGACAGGTACATGGGCAGGCACCTTCATGACAGCATGAGGGGGCGAAAGGGCAAGGGCTAAAAGGATATCAAATGCACATCCATACAGACAACGAGCAGAAGGGGCCACGAGTGGCAGAGAGAGAGAGAGAGAGAGATCGAGAGAGGGAAAAAGGGAAAGAGAGAGAGGACAATCGGCAAATGCTGATCAACGAGAGCATGGAATGGAGTTGGGCAGGCCGGGTCGGGTCGGGGCTACCGATTTAAATGATGTCCGTGCAGAGCAGCAACAACAACACTTGCAGCTCTGTTTGCTTAATGAACCAACTCACACACACACAAACACACACATATGTACACACAACACACCAACAGAGGCTGAGAAACACCAAGAAAAAACCACCTTCAGCAAATAAGCAGACAGGACGGCAACAGTCGACACATGGATACTCTTGCCGAGTCCAGCAGCAGCAGCAACCCACTGATGGGAGAATGCACAACTTGGGTGCCTTTGATTTTCCTTGACCAAGTCGGTTAAACAGAGCCAAAATGCTTCAATTATGCTTTTGGAACGGCTACGAACAATTGTGATCACTGATCATTACCAATTGAATGGACATGTCCATGTTCCCATAGATGCCCTCGCAGCCAGCCACCAGAAGAAGGAGAGGCAGACAACAAGCAGATAACAACGACTGTCTCCAAGTGGGCTCAAGTACCAGTACCGCTGTCGACGGTGCAGACGAAGACACAGACGACCACGACGACAACGAGGGCTAAGCAGGGAGGAATGCGAGACACGCAGGCTGGCCAAGACGGACCGTCAAGAGGACAGACGATGGGGCAGCGCAGTGGCAGTGTAGAAGCTACTTCACAGAAACAGAACTCTGATTCTGATGATGCGATCGTGTTTCTTCCCGTTGGTGTCTGTCTTTGTATATCTGTGTGTTTGTGTGTGTAAGGTGAAGAGGAAAGGAAAGCAAATCCAAGTCCAAGTCCCGTGGTAGTGGAGTGGCGTGGAGCAGAAGGAGAGTTTTGCACACCATTCCATTGGCATCCGAGCACCGGTTCCCAGTTTCCCCAGTTCTCAATTTCGATTCCATTACATCCAGGCCCCCCTTCTGCCACCCCTCATCCCCACATAGGCAGCAATATCAAACGTTGTTGGACAATGACTTTCACGCCTTTTAAGCGCGCCAAAACAGAAAACACCACCAACACCAGTGCATGGACTGACACCACTACACTACTGCAGAAGCAGCAGCACCAGGCAGCAGCGCAGCAGCAGCAAGAAGTACAGGCGGCCAAGGCGGCAACCCAGATACACTTTACCCAGCATCACTAGCTAAAGTGGAATCCAGCGGAGAGAGAAGATATTAAATCCATTACAAGAATAGAGGACTGATCACTGATCACTTTCAGTTTTCCATTCACACACACACGCAATAACACGCACACACAACACACACTCACAACACACAATTATTGATTGCTCTCATTTTCAATATCAATTTCGATCGCCAATCACTTAAGTCTTTGATTTCGGTAAATGAGGCAATTGGAACAGCCTCACGCTCACTGTTTAGGCTGCAGAGTATGAGGGGAGGATGAGGAAGAGGCGTTGCAGAAGGAGAGGATTGAAATTAAACAATCAACCCAACTGCCAATTCTCATTTTCTGCCTCTCTTCCCGATGCTTCTCTTTCCATTCCGGAGAAGTTCTTATCGCTATTTCGCGTGAATTTTAATTTTGCGATTTGCTTAGTTGTGCGCGATTTTCAAGCATGATTAACTGCGGATGTACCACCTTAAACACACATCCAAAGGTCTGTGCATACGACGCACATACCATATGAAGATTAATTATTGATACAGATGCCGTTTATTTAATACCAAAAATATAAACTTATCACCCGGGATTGGGGGTTCACTAGAAAGGTTTCGGTTCTGGCCAGCATATTCCTTTACAAATTTCGAGTTCGTATCAAGCGTTTTGGGAACATTCTACATACTCGTGGTTGTCTCGTTCCCGGGTACTAGGCAATAGCGGTAGGCTGCTGGCTTCTGCTTGGATTAGTCTCACTTGATCGGCGTTGTGCGGCAAAAACTGACAAAAAACTTAGTAAAAAAAAAAACAAACGTAAACTAAGGAACTACAACAATTAGTTGCGGCAATGCAGCCGAGCTTGAGGTGGAGACAACGACTAAATTCAGCGGCACAGAGAGCACGACAGACGACACAAATGAAACCCGTTGCACAGTCTTTTGGCCCCCATTTCGAGTTCGCAGCGTAGCAGCGAATAACCGCCTGATGTCGCCCAACAGCACCAAGGGTGCTAACAGCTCTAAAGGTGCTGCAGAGCGCAGTGAACAAGATCGTTTTGACCAGCCCTGGCACTGTTATGTTATGAAAATATTAACGCCTAACCAAACCATTACCAGCGTATATATCTTCAGGAAAGTAATAATAAATCAGTCACTTTTAATTGAAGATATAAGTGATGAAACAATCTATTACAAAAATTACAAAAGGGGTGAACTCTTCGCTTTCTTGCTCTTACGTGGAGCCAAAATAACTTTAATTTCAAGAATAAAACGAAAAATATTGAATAGAGAGAACACAAAGACGCCCCCAATCGATCCCAATACTTTATTGATATTGTAAACATAAATATTTTATGCATTTTATGTCGCTAGATCGTACCAGGCGACTGGTTTTTCATATTGTGCCAAATAGTTAATTCCAACGAATCGGAGTGGGAAATGCATTTCCACTAATTGGTTGCATGACACCAGACTCTACCTTTGTGCTTTGTGAGTCGTAGAGGATGGATCCCCAACTATGTTTGTATTTTCACCCGACCAATAAGAAGGCAGTTTTGTTTAAAGGAAAAATACATTGATTGTGTAGCTATTTTCATTTTTCTTACGAATACACGCATAACATTTTAGTTAAATACATTTACAATTGAAAATTTGCTCTACTTTTTTTGGGGGAAACGAAAACGAAAGTACAATTACACGTGATCCGGCATCATATGAACTAATCAGTTAAATATAACATACATACATATACAAATGAATTAATTCAAGGAACAAAAAAAAGAAAAAAAAAAAAATCAATAATAATAAAGAAGAAAATTGTTATCCTTAGGTTCATTAGCTTACTAATCATACATAAATTATGGTTTTGTTTTAATAATATCTTTTTTTTCAGCTTGCGGATTAGGGCTCGCTGTTACATATGTAGGTTACATACTCGTAGTACATAAATATATCGTAAAAGTGTAAATGTAAATGTTTAGCTTTAAAACTGATGTTGAAAATACAATATACATACATCAAAAATCGATAATAGGCACATACAAAGCAATGACTAAATCAGAAATATCAGATATATATATGTGTGTATATATGTATAAATATATTTATATATATATATATGTATGTAGATGTGTTTATATGTATGTATGTATATATATTAATATAATTATATATATATACCAAATAATTTCATATCATCATTTTCGTACCGTTGCGTTACCAAATCCGCTGTTATCCGCACACTAGCTCCATCTAGTACATTTAGGTGGATCGGTTTTCGGTTTCGGTTTGTGTTCGTGTCGTGTCTGTTTCTGTTTGTGTCCGTCTGTGTGTTTCATGTTCATGTTCATGTTATCCGGCTATAACAATTTCTTCGAGCAGTACATATACATTGTACAATATGCAGGGCTCGATTAGATAAATGAAATACAACTACTGTATATGTAAGTATATCCTAAAAGACAGTCTTGTTTCCTATGTGCGTGTTGTTCTGTATGTGTGTGTATGTTGTGTTTGTATGTGTTTATGTGTATGGGAAAGTATATATACATATATATATACTATATGTACGTATATACTGCAATAGAATATATACGTCGGATACAATCGATCATCCTTATACACAATCATTAAAAAACAGAAACTTAATAAATTAATGAAGAATCCAAAGTTAATTTAAATATACCTTTTTTTGTACATATTTGTGTATGTGGGGGGGAGTATGTGTATGCGTATGTGTTAGGTGTATGTGTATGTGTGTGTGTGTGTTGACTAAGAAACGTACAGTGGTACAGTGGTAGCCAATAAACTGTATACACTGTAATATATGTATATGTACACAATAGAACAGAAATAGGATCGCGCCAGAAGGAGAAAGGATAGATCAAATCCCTCATTCTCAGTTCCATTCCTATAGGATCCCTTCTGTCCATAGATCTTTCGGATAGCATATCTATAGAATAGATGAGAGGGGGGATACGATACGTGTGTTTGTGTACATTAAGGTTGCTTTGATTATCTGTAATTTACACTTTATATGGAGCTACAGGTTTTAACTCTTTTTGTTTAACGCAATCCTTTCCTCACGCTCTCTCTCCTTCTCTGTTGGTTTCTCTTTCTCTCTATGCATGCATATTGATTTTATATAAGTGTACATATATATATATATTTTTTTTTTTGTAGTCATACATTTAAAAGCAAATTCAAATTGTTAGAATCTGTTTTTTGTTTGTTTCATTTTTGGTAACTTTAAAAGTTGTTTCGTTAATTGAGTTGTGAAATGAATTTTTGATTGATTTGATTGATAACTCCATATATATATACCTATTTTTTTTTTCTCTCTCTCGCTCTCTGGGCGGGTTTCCCCAGCCCAAAATGTATATCCCATTTTTTAGTTTGATTCTCGTTCTGCTCCACACACCACATTTAAAAATGGAAGAGTTTTGCGCTTTCTTAGGCTGGCTTTACACAGATTTTACATACAGATACAGCTAAGTGCATATATGTACTATATATGTACGTATATAACTATGTATGCATACTAGTATACTGCATAAATCTGATTGAATTGGCTTTGTTCTTTGTTGCTTGTTTTCTTGGTGTTTTGTTGCTTGTGGATTGCATCGTTTCGTAGTCGTAGTCATAGTCTATATATCATCGCTTTCTCTTGGTTTCCCAAAAAATTCGTTGTGTGGCTGCTCTTATGTAGACAGATATATCTCAAAAGAACAATGAAAGCCCGATCTTAATCGTCTGTTTGTTGTTTTTTGTTTTGCTGATTGATGGATCGCTTTGGTGTTTTTTGTTCTTTCCTTCGGTGCAACTCATGGGTGAAGGGGCGCGGGGGGGGAGTGGTTGATTGGTTGGTGGTGATTCATTTGTAAGATTGGTGGGGAGGTTCATCTTCATAGAGCTTCATATAGTTCAGTTACAGATATCGATATTCTGGATATTTAGTTCTGTATCTGTATCCGGTATTTTGTATATATATAATATAGTTAACATGTATATATAAATGATCTGATCTGGTTACTTTATATATATGTATATAGATTACATGTGTAATCATCATATGTTCATACATATATTGTGTATATATATATCTATATATATATATATGTATTGTATATATAGACAGCGAATAGCGAACGTTATTATTGCTCTGACCCATCCATAATAGTTTCAGCTGATTCTTCTGTTCCTGGGCCACATTCTTCTACACATCCACATCCTCAGCCTGATCTCCGATCTCCTGTTGTTGTTGCTGCTCCTCCACGGCCATTGCATTATTTTGTATTTGTATATTCTGTTTTTTTTTTATATAATATAACATATATATTTTGTATATATTTAGTTGGTGTTTCGTGCATCTTTCCTGTTGTTGTTGTTTTTGTATTTTTTGTTTTAGTAGTTTTGGGGCCGACGTCCGCGTGGCTTGATCTTCTCCGATATCTGCCACATCTCCTCCTCGCCCATGAAGTCCTTGAAGTTTTCAAAGAACCGTATGATCCGCTCGTTGCGTCGAAACGGATACGCACTACAAAGATGACAGAAAGACAAATGTTAGTTATTTATGGGCCAATGGGGTTTAGGTACGTGGAAGCGGCATCCTACCACTTCTTGAAACGCTTCATGTTCACAATGATGTTGTACTGCTGCCAGCGTTTGGAGAAATTGATGACGCCCTTGGACAGATAGTCCTGGTTGCCCACATGCACAAACGTCAGATCCTGCAGGACCAGACCGCTAAAAAGAACACATATGAGCACATTTTTATCTGGAAAGAAGAGTTGCGGGGACTCACATATAGGGTATGCAGGGCGGATTGGTTTCGGCCAGGGCCTGGCGATAGGCCCGAAAACTGGAACTGGAATCGATGAGGGCGCAAAAGGAGCGCACCTCCTCGGTGATGCTCTTCTGCCACTCCAACCTGCAACAGAAGCGGAATAAACATTTAAATTCGGTTATTAATTATGGGAAAATGATTGATTTACCTTCGAATGGGACCCGAATCGAGGGCCGAGAGCAGCGCCAGATACGAATTATAGTTGTTCATCTTGCGCAGATGCTTCATGATTTTAATAAACTTATTCACATGCTTCTCCCGCTCCTTGGCGTCGTGCAGTCGCAGGATCTTGGAGCGAGCCCAGTAGGACATTTTGTTAAAGTGCTCGGTGAACTTATTGAGGTTGGGCGACTTCTCCTCGCACTGATCTTTGGCAAATAGTAATACTTCGGGTATCTCGATCTTCTGGAACAGCTCCGCATCCAGCAGTGTCATCTGTTCGGCAATGTCCAGGGACTTGAGGTCCAGCAGGCTGGGATGATTGCTGCTGCCGCTGCTCATGCTGCTGCTGCTATTACCGGACAGACCACCACCTACACTTCCGCCGATGCCGCCGACAGCGGCTCCGCTGCTGGTAATGGTTCCGCCCAGCTCCAGTTCGTTGACAAAGCCATATACCTTGGGCTCCTTGTAGAGCGTCACTTTCTCCACGAACTTGTTGCGCAGCAACTTGGCCAGATATAGCTGTCCGGAGCAGACCAGCTGGTAGACAAACTCCACCAGGAGGCTAAGCAGTTGGCTCGTGAGATCCGTAGATCTGGAATGGATAGATATGGTTAGCCCTTTCGGGAGTACTGAATGCCAATTGAGTCACTCGGATACTCACGTTAAATCATTGACAACCCGCACCAGCAGCGAGAAGGTCTCTTTGGCGGCCTTCTGCTTGTTATCCTGCACCTGGCAGAAGAAGTATGTGTAGCGATGGGTGAGCTTCTCGATCACATCGATCGGCTGGATGAAGGTGCGGAAGGTGGTGATGAACGCCTCGCTGAATGCTGCACGTGTGGAATGGACAGAGACAGAATGACAGACAAATGATGAGTTGGGGGGAGTTTGATGGTTACGAGGGTGCTTGACATGCTTCCGCTTGGCTTGCTGTGGATGTGGATGCGTACCGTTGTCGGCGACCTTCTGGACGCGGCTCGCGTGCACAATGAGCGCGTCAATGTAGCCGCCCTTGACCTCAGGCCCGTCCTCCTCCTTCTTCTTGAGTATTAGATAGCGCGTTATATTGACCTCCTCCAGCATATTGATCACCGTCTCCACCTCGCCAGCGTCCTGATGATGCTGCCTCTCGCTACCATCTGACTGCCGCTGACGCTGTTGCTGCTCCTGCTGCTTCTCAGCATCCGACTCTGGGGCGACTCTTGACTCTTGATCTTCATCAAGCAGCTTGGGCGTATTTATGGGCTGCTGATGCTGTTCATGCCGCTGATCATTGTCCGCCGATGTTGTCGGTGCCAGCGAGTCATCCGGCAGCTGATGCGAGTGGCAATAGAAGGTCTGACCTTCGCCTTCGCCGTCGGCATCGCCAGAGCTGACATTCACATTCTCATTGCTGTCGAGGACCAGGGAATCGTTACGCTCTTCAGAGACAGTGGCCATACGGCTGTCTGGCCGCCCGCCGCTGCCACCGCCCGATCCATTCTCGCCGAGAGTTGGCTTTGGACTGGGGGGCGGTGTGGTGACAATTATCGGCTGCAAAGACTGCGCCGGCTTGCGCTGCTTGTAGTTCTTTGGCGGCAAGGCTGGTGGCGTTTCCAGCTCGGGGGACAGCTCCTTGCTCATGGGCATAATGCTGCAAAGAGAGAAAGAATTGCTAAAGCTCCAATCTCTCAATGGAGGCGAATCCTCTACTCACTTCATTGTCTGGCTGTGGGAGATATTACGGCTGATGTTGCACGCATGCATCGTGTGTCGGTGCTGCTCGATGGAGCGAGTCGAGGCCGTGCAGATTTCCATGTAGGCCAGAACTGTGTGTGCGGAACGGAAGGGAGGTGGAAGGAAACGGAATTAGTATTGAGCCGTGCCGGAATAATTCCAAGTCAAAAGTCGAACCAACAAAGCCGATCGATCCCTGACGCTAGATACACACGGAAATCTATCTCGCTTTGAAGGGCTATACAGCATTCGTATGTGGTGCTTGGAAAGGCAAAATTTCTCTTGGGCGCTTATCTACAGCCACAGATTCTATCTGTCAGACACAAAGATACACCTAAAAACATCAAGGGATCGCAACATCACAACAAACAATAAAACAATTCAAACACTGAGCACAGAAGCACAGAACATATGGAAGCACACAACGGTGGGGGATACAGAGGATTAGGCAAAAACGAAACAAAATCAAAAACGGAACTGAAACAGAAAACAGTAACTTTAACTTCATGGGGGATCAATACGAAACAAATGGAATTGAAACCAAAATCATCAACCCCAGCGGCAGCAGAAGCAGTGTTGGGCAACAACAAAAGTGTTGAGCAACAGCAGCAGTGTTTCGCAAACATTTGAATAGCAGCAAGAAGCCAGCAACGAACTCGAAATGCTCTTTGTGAATCCCCTTAATTTTTTGGATCCAATTGTTCCACTACTACTAACTCCCTTCCTCTTCTGAAAATACTAAAGCCCACCACACATACAATGATGAGCATTAATAGTTGTAATTTTGGATGCATTCCTGGCTCATTTATTTCAATTTAGTTCGAGCTTTCCTCGATCATTATTCTAATCTTTCTATCTTTTCTGTATGTACGCGACAGGTTCGGTTACACGCATTAGGCGTCATGCGGCTGCGCCCCTCGGTCCGATCCGTAACAAGCTTGGGCTTGGAGTCGATTGGGTCACTCGATGGTGGAAAATCTCAACATTTGTTTTCTTATTCGCTCAACAGAAACATTAAAACCAATGAAAAGAGCATCGCGAGTTCCCGAGGCTGCCAAAGCGGTTTGGTTTTAGTTTTCTTTTTGTTTAGATTTAGTTTGTGTTCGTTTCTCAATTTGTTTTTTTTTTTTTTTGTCCTCTAATAGCACACACAGACTTACCCGAGAATGCCACACTTTGAAACACTAGATGTTGGTTGGAACGATAATTTAGATGGGTTAGACTCTTACGTACAACAATTTGGCAAATTTTTGTATCGTTTGCCTTACGTTTTGCGGTTACGTTAGCGCTAACGGGTTTACGTTTAAATGTGCTATAAATAAAGGTGTGTCTTGAAAATCAAAATACAAATCCCTCAACCACGGCCTGTGTTTTCTTTTCTTTCGTGCGCTACGGGAAATGATACATGTGTGACTAATTGATTGATTGATTGATTGATTGATTGATTGATTGACTGATTGCCTAATGGGTGTTTTTGTATGCGATTCTGGTTTGTGACCCTTAATGTGGGCGTATGATATATGTGATTAAGGGTATGATCGATATCTAATCCGATTTCGATAATTTCGGCCAATAAAGGACTTCTTTTTGTGGAAGTCAAATTGAGTAAGATGGATTTGGTTGTCTGGTTAAATATCGATCAATAATCGCTTTGATGATAATTTAAATAACGATGATTTTTGTTTTCTTGGCGATATACGAGTATGGGCGTGTGTGTATGATCAACAAAACACACGAGATAAGACGGCACAAAAATTTGGGAAACACTTTTCCAAAAGAAAAATGAAAAATGTAACAATTTAGTGAGATTTCCCCCTCCCACAGGATGATGCTGATGATGAACCGTTAGACTAAGCTCACACGCACACGCACAGCAATAACGGTATCACACTCACCGCTCGGCAAAGCCTATGGGACGGCATTTACCCAGCGGTCGGTTAAAGGTCATGCACAAACACACACACACAAAGAGATGCAGAACCAAAGAAAAAGGAAAAGAAGAGGAAAACAATAATGATAAATAATCGAATGGGTACATTTAATCGAGAGTGTGCAGCAACCGATACTTACTGTACTTCTTCTTCATGGGCAACGGCGGCGGCTCATCGAGATGCCTCTGATCGAAGGCGCTGCAACTTCCAGCCAAATAGTGGGGTGCACTGCGCGGCGGTTCGATTAGGCTGTGGTGCTTCGAATGCCACTGGTGCAGCTGTTGCTGGTGGTGATGGTGCGGCGACAGTTGTCTCAGCTCTGCCACATCTGCGGCATTGCTGCTACCACTGCTGGCTGCCCCCTGACTCCAGTCCAGCTCGTCTAGGGCGCTCGATTCGTGACGCGTCAGCGTGCGCTGGTGCGTTGTTGTCGCCGTTCCCGTTCCCGTTGCCGTCGCTACCGGTGTTGTCGTCTTGGGCGGCAGGGCGGGTGCTGCAGCCTCCGTTGTCGCCGCCTGCTCCTGCTGATCGCCGCTGCTGAAGCTGCTCATGGTGGTGGTGGTCATGCTACTGCTGCTGCTGCTGGAGATGTGCTGCTGTTGCCGCTGACTGCTGTGGCTGACCGATTGGCTGATCTGCTGGTACTCGCTGCTGGCCGCACTCGCTGTCGCCGACTCACTGATACTGATCGCAATCTCCGAATTGCTGCTCGACGATTTGGCCGACGATTGCACGCTGTAGTCCGAGGAACGCTTGGAGACGCTCTGCGTGGAGGTGCGGAACGACTTCATCGACACGAAACCTGCAGCAGAAAATGGCACGAAAGAGAGAGAGAGAGAAAAGAATGTTAGAAACAAGTGCATCTTGAGTCTTAGAAGAAAGCAAAAAAAAAACAAGCAGTATAAGCAAAAATCAAGGAGCAAGTAAAGCAAGTGCGTACTAATAAACAGTTAAAGACGAAGGAGGAAGCAAAGAAAGGATATAAGGACCTTCCGTTCAATCGATTGGCCGTTTAAATAATCGATTTCATTGAATTTATCGATAAACGAAATTCCGATTTCAAGGTAAACTCGTCAAAAAGTGATTGCCTGTTTAATATTACTTTGACTCTACCTCCGAATTTCAGGATTTGGTTGTTTATCGATTAAATGGAAGGATTTGTTACAGCTTATACGAATCCAATGACAGTTGGCTATTGGTGCGTGTTGTTTGCCAATTAAAATCTTTATGGGAAAAGCAGATGAGCAATTTCAACTTTGCCACCTGATTTCTGTGCGTCGTTAAGTTGGTTGCGCCTCAATATTTGGTGAAATGATGCCGTTATTTATACTCAGGACACTTTGAACAGATTTTCATGAAGTGATTTTGCGGTTTAAGTATTAAACAGTAATGGAAAAGCATTAAAGCATAAACAGCAAAAGCATAGACAAAGGACAAACGAAAGAGCTTCAGCAATTGCAGGACGACTAACAAATTGGATACAAGGGATAGCACAAATAATAATATTCAGACAGATACAGAGATATGTATGTGTATGTATAAAAGTTATAGAAGAGAGGAAGACGCCAGCAGAAGAAGCAGTAGTAGGGACTTTAGAAAGCTATAGAGTTGGTGCCAGTACCCGATTCGTTCGAATGACGATTGCTGGTGAGGGCTGCCGCCGCTGTGCGCAGCTCCGTGTTAGTTTCCCCTCCACCTCCTGCACATGCTGCGCTTACGCCTGGGCCTCCGGTGCCTGACAGCAGTGTCTGCGCATTGGGTGGTGCCATGGCCATGGCCATTTCCTGTGCAGCAGCGCTTGCGGACCCGGCGGCTTCTGTATGTTGAATATGTGGGATTTGGTTAATGGAGAGTTGTTTGGATGGAGACAGGAGAGAGAGAGGAGTAGAGGCCACCACTTGAGTTGAGCAGACTGTGGATATGGATCAAGGGATCATCGATGGGATCCAATACTCACTGTAGCTGATCATCTTGTCTGCATCCTCTTCCATCAGCTTCAAGGGATGCTTCTGTTGCTGTTGCTGCGGATCCTCCTCCTCGCGCGAGTGATTCAGAGCCGAGTCAAAGGAGCATTGGCTATTCTCATCCGGGGAACGGGAACGCACCGAGAGTCTATATGATAAAATCGAACAATCAATCAACAATCAGCGGTCTGTTCTGGTCTGGTCCGGTCTGTCTGTAAGCCACTTACCGATCCACACCGTAGTTCAGTAGCGAGATGTTCGAACTGCAGTCCAGATCCGAGTTGAGGCTGATGTTGTGCGACTGCGCATAGGGCAGCGGACTGGCCTGGTTCGACGTTGACGTGGATGAGGAGGAGCCGCCAGGAGGCGCTTGCGGCTGGCTGCGTCGCTTGGGGGGCAACGGTGGGGGATTGCTGGCCCGATTCGGTAGCGGCGGCTTTGGCGGCGGACTCGTGTCGCGGAGTATACTCTCGGTGCTGTGCGACCCCCGCATGGGATTCACATTCCGATGCTCCAGGCTGGCCCGCTCCTTCGGCGACAGGGCAATGTCCGGCAGGGAGGTGCGCTGTGCCACGGCGGCGTTCTCGACAGCGGATATCCGCATGCTGGCCACGCCCGTGATACCGGTGCCGGGCACACCACCTACAGGTAATGTGCCGCCACCAGCGACTGCGTTCGTACTGGATGCTGTTACCGCGCCCATAATCTCGGCTGCGGCCCCGATTCCACCCAGGCCGGAGGAGCCGCTGTAGCGAAAGTTGCACTGATCCTGTTCCTTCAACTTACCCTGGGCCAGGGTTACGAGATTCTAGAGGGAATGAGCAAATGAACGGGAGGATTAAATGTTTGTTTGAATTAGAAATATTGGATATTAGATTCATTGAGTTTTAATAATTTTGTTAAATAATCGCAGTATTATCGATATTAAATCGATTCACTCACCCTCACTGCATCTTCGAGTAGATCGATAACCTCGCGCACATTCTCGTTGCTGAGGGAGGGGCACTCGCCGCTCTCGTCGGAGAGCATCACCTCGTCGCAGAGTTTGATGAGTTTTGCCAGGGATTGGTAGACCTGCTGCGTGGCCGAGCTCATGATGGCACTGTTCTCATTCAGTGGGGTATACGTTTGGATAACTACGGAAACAGCGAGAGAGATGGGAGTCTAGCATGGCCTGTCCTGCATGATGGGGGAGTGTGATACATACCGGAATACATGCTGGCAATGGTCTCCAAGATGACCGTACCATTGCCGGGCAGCACCTCGAGCTTCTTCTTTAGAATAACGTCCCGAAAGTGCTTGAGGGCATTCGATATATCCTTGACGTGCGTCTCTAGCGTCTGTGTGGAGCGCTGCACCTCCTCATTTGAGGGGGCCAGCTTGACGCCAACACCGTGCTTTGAACGCGGACTGTGCGGCGAGTGGGAGCGACCCAGCGTGTTGTTAGTGGTACGCATCAGGGATATCTTTTCGATCAGGTCGTCTTTAAAGGAGCGCGCCCGTCGTGCCAGCTTCGTTCCCTTGAGGCTGTTCTTGTGCCCCGAAGATCCGGTCTGATTGCCGTGAGCGGCACTCGGCGGTGCCGGTGGCACTCCGCCTCCGGCTCTCCCGCCTCCCTGGTGGTGGTGGTGGGGGGGTGATGCGTCGACGGCGGCGGTGTGCATGCGACGGGCACTGAGGATGCACTCGCGTAGCTGCCGCTATTAATGCTGTTGTTGCTGCTGCTACTGCACCCACCACCAATGCCACCACCGCCTGGCGTGTTCGGAGAGCTAATGCTGCCGTCTGCAATGAAGTTATGGAAAATAAATATTTAAAATATGTTTTAATTTTTGATTCAAAAACAATCAAGTAATTCCAATTTAAGTGCCGTCTTCCATTTGCTGTGCAATTGTTCCCATAAGCGAACAGACTTGCCAGTCAAATGTGAACATGGATGCCACTGCTGCCTTTAGCTTAAAGACGGTAGGAAATGTTTAAGCAAGCAATAGAAAGGCTTCTAGAAACTGAACTGATTTCTATCCACAGACCAGCACCCCCCCCCCCCGGCGTGGGGCGCCCACATCCCCCCCCCTCCCCCCTTCAATTGCGCAGAATCCTTTACGGGAGGAGCCTTTTACAAACTTAAGTTTTTGCTGAATTACTATAAATATTTATATTAAATTTTCGTGACTGCAATAGACGTTGATACATATATCCATAGAAATGGCCTTAAAGAAATATATATGTACATATTTGAAAGACTTGACGGATACAATGTTTGCTTTTATTCGGAATATATAAAAATCTCCCAATCCGGACATAGAGCTCACTCGATTCTGTTTTAGATCAGTTTTTGATTCAGATTCTTCATTCTTACTCCCTTCGATTTCCCCTTGAAGAACGACCTTCAGGGGTGTTTTCCCCACTTTCTGCCGATTCTCCTTCTGCATTTGGTTCACTTACGTTCTCCAGCAGCAGCGTTAGGGATACTATTCTTGGACATGGGCATCACTGGCATCGATAGCGATGCTGCCAGACGTGGCAATTTTTTGTGCTTGCAACGTCTCTGGAATTTGATGTTATGCAGAGTGTGGCCGCTGTTGTTGTTGTTATCTCGCGGCATCCATGATGCCCGCTGATGATCATTATCATTATCACGTGATGATAATTATAATTATGATGATGGGGATGGGGATGATGCTGATGCTGATGCGGCGTCTGCTTGAGCGTGTACGAGTAAAAATGCCAGCGATCGGCGAGCGCACAATCGCTCAAAAAAGATTCATCAAACTGTGGCATTGCATAACCGCAATAACAATAACAAAATAGCAAATAACTAAGCAAACACTAAGTCACACTGGACAACACTGGCACAACACACAGCTCTGATCAACATTGAAACAAACAAAATTAATTCTGTTATTGGACTTGCACATCCACCGCCAATTCCATTGCTTTCCTTCCTATCTTTCTCTTTTGTTTTCCATTCCTTCCATTCACTTTCAAAGGCAATTTCGATTTGAATTAATCACAAAATAAAAATAAATGATTATAAAATGATTATATTTAGAGTCTAAATTTTAGACGCTGGTCGAATTCGCGTATGCTGTCGCCGCGTCTCGTGCTGCTGTCGACGACTGGAAAGCGCTTTGAACTATGAAAATCCGCAAAAACGGCAAAACGCGCCTCCCCAAACGCGGAGGTGTCCAACGGAGAATCGGCCAACAACCAACAACTCTGTGGAGATCAATCGGACGGACGGACGGACGGACGGACGGACGAACGAACCGCTAGGCCAGCAGCGGCAGCAGCAACAACAACAACAACAAAACCAGTGTCAAAAAGAGCATCAAATGGTACTTGCGCCTAGGCTCTCACAACTAGCCATGCTCTCCTCTCTGCCAATATCCATCGAGCAGAAGCAGTGACTGAGACTGCGGGCAGCATCGGGCAAAAACGACAAGCAGCTAACAAAAAAAGTTACCTCTCGATGGGGGCAGCATTTTATACCCTTTATATTACAGATGTATCATATGTTTATTTATGTAGGTTTTTCAAAATTAAATTTCTACAAATTTTGTGCAAAAGAGGACACCCAGAAAATAAATTGAATCAAATTGATTTAATTTAATTTCAGTGTGCTTGTTTTTGAAAACCGAATACTTAATTAAAAAATACAAAAAATTAGTTTATTTTTTGTACCATGCCATTTTCTTAAATGGTTTTGGGTAATGGATCTACCCTCTTCGATGGAGGGTATTGCTTAACAAAACCCAACGGTTTGTCGCCGCTCTCTTGCTCTTGGCATGGATGTTGATGCTGCCGTTGCTGCTGCACTCAGGGTTCTCCTACTTTTTCCTACTCTCCCACTCTCTTTGGCTCTCTCTCTCTCTCTCTTTATCTCTTTCTGTCTTCCGCTCTGCATTATCAATCAGCTGTGGGACGACACCTGAATGAGCTTCAGGGCGGGAGGGAGATTACTGCTGAGTAATCTGTTGGGTGTTGGATGGTTTGGTATGGTGGCCTTTGGGCGGATTTCTTCAATTTGCAAGTGCCGCTCGTGACTTGCCTTGGAAATGAGGGGCACAAAATGAGTGCCGCAAATCGAAGGCGTCGCCAAAAACTAAAGCAACAAAAACCGTATAGACACCCACAACACAAAATACACCATACGTTTGTAAAAGAAATGTTAGAAATATAGAAATTGCCTCTCACTCAGTGCCAAGGTTAAGGCAACTTCATTGGTTGAGTCTCGTGACAGATGTCCTTGGAATTGGGGCTAAGGTTAAGGGTTACTTTTTTGGCATCAATGTAAAAAACAAGAACAAGAATTAAAAAGGGGGAAACCCCTTCTGTTGGAAAACAAAAACAGCTGACCCCCATGAAGGTACGAAGAGGGTTGTTTTGGGATGCAAAATTCGATTGCATTTGCTTATCGAGGCCTATCGGCACTTGGCGATCGAGAATGTGGCATGCTGATTCCCCCCTATTCAGATATGGCTCGAATCGAGTTGACATTTCCTGCTTCAATGCCTTATATATGTACATGTGTACATACTCGTCTGTAAGTGCCTGGCATGTCTCTGTCTATGGCGTTCAAACACTTTTGGTTCTGATGATAAATACCGGAATTAAATATTTCCCTGCGCCTGAATAAATACCGTTCTACTTTTCGTGTCCAGGGGATACTACCTACGATTACAGATGTGTAGAAATATTTCTCTAAGCATACATTTAATGCAGATCCCAGAACGCCAAAAGTCACGTTCACCCAATTAATTTTTGGCACACGACAAGAAATGGGGAAACGAGAAATCAGAAATCCAAAAGCCCAAAATCCGAAATGAGCCAAACACGAACCCGATATGCTGCCCGCCACTGCCATTGGCACTTCGGCATCGCTGCAATCGAGTCTCGAGTCGAGGAAATTGGATCAGGCAACGGAGAGTCCGCCCCGCGCCAGAGGAGCGGGTTGGACAAGTCGAACGAGAGGTGAAATCAATTCTGGTTCTGGCCAAAAACAAAAACAAAAATCAAACACCAACAAATTAATAGATAAAATCCAGAAACTCCAGATTTCGGGGTGCCGAAGTTTTGGATACCCTCCTGGCCATTCAAAGTTTAAACATAATCAAATTCAATACGGCTAAGTTTCGTTTCACGATTACTTTTAAAATGGGAGGTAAATTCGAATTCCTGGACTTTTTTTTTTTACAGAAAAATAATAAAATACAAACATATGTATGTAAAGACGAAATTAAAGACGAAAAAAAATGATCAAAAATGCTAAATTTGTCTAATTGTATGTGTATGTACATACATAATTTTCATCTTGACCTTCCGCTCAATACATTAAAATGGACTGTTCTAATTTCTGGACAATTCGAATTTTTTGAAGTTCTTATTTGTGAAATTCCTCTGTATGTACATTTATGTGTGTGTGTTCTATAGTTCCATAAATTATAATACTACAATCAAGCTGATATTCCGATATCTTTTTAACTCAGAGTATGGAATGCGTGGACTTAAAAGAAGAAAGGAATATTCTTTAAATAACTCTCCAGTATGTTAAACATAAATACTGTTAAGTTTTTAACTATTAAGTTGTTAACTATTAAGTTTTCCTCGACACCAGAATAACCTTCAAAATCCATTGATGATGGGGATCTCGTCAGATCTGATGAGGAATCGATCAATGATAAATATACCCCACCTGGTGCCGGTGGTTAGGGTATGCAAAGCCACGATCTGGGCTAGGCGGATTTAAAGCGACTGTCAAATGGGGTAAGGCATGGCCCAGTCATATGGTCAATAGAGATAGAAAGAGAGAGAAAGGGAGGGTGGGGAGGCAATCGGCGGTGACACCAAATTGGTAATTGGCACAACCAACGACAACGACGACGACGATAATGAAGATCATTCATAATCAACGCAGCTTCATTATGCCCCCCGTATGCAAAGTCCTCCGGGCAAAGGCGGCGCTCTCTCTCTCTCAAAACTTGACCAATATTTGTCTATCTCTCTGCCTCTCCCTCTCTCTCTTTATGTTTCTATTGCTTTTTCTGCTCTTCCCAAACGAGAGTAAAGCTTCAACCTGTTTCATGAGGGAGAGAGAGAGAGATCATAAGCACAGCAACGCTGTAAGCTTATTAGAGAGAGAGAGAGAAAGGCATTGCAAGGGCACAAGCAAGTTGTACTTATGTAAAGGTGAGGCATTTTGTTTACAACTCTCACCGTCCCACAAGCCCTTTCAATGAGTATTTTCTTAACCTTATTCGTAACACCGTTCGTAAAGAGAGAGAGAGAGAGAGAGAGAGAGAGGAGAGGAAGAGAGAGCTCGGCAACCAAAAAGAGTAAAGTACCGCAAGACAGTGCATAAGACCAAGAGAGAGTCACGAGAGAGCCAAAGACAAAGAGAGAGAGAGAGAGAGAGCTACACCATTTACGAAATCATCGCGAAATGTAAAACGAAAACAAAACAGAAACAGCAACAGCAAAACGCGCAAAAATGTGAAAATGTTGAATGAATGAATGAATGAGCGCGCAACAAACACCAAAAGCTGCATACATATGTATATATGTACATTCCTATGTATTGTGGAATGTTTTGTGTTGATTGCTGCATGGAATGCCATGCTTTCTAACTGCCACGCCACGGCACTCCATGTTACAATCGCGATCGCAATAGTTCCTGGGTAACCCAGAAGGTGGCAGCAGATGTACCCCCAACGCGTAAGTACGCGTGCTACACATTTCGGATAGGAGGGGGGAAGAAGCAATAAAACAAAGCAGTAAAACGACATGACCTAATCTGTTGTCGCAACCAAAGAGCAACAAAAGAACACACACACAACAGCGAGAGAAGAGTGACGTTCATTCAAATTTCCGTCAATGACAGAAAGAGAGAAGAAGGAGAAGACAAAAAGAAAGAGACTGGCAATTAATTTCCACAATTGTGATTAAGATCCTAAAACGAGATCAGATCAGCGCGAATGATGCTTTAAAATATTTGCCAACTTTAGGGATTATATATGTACATACATACATATGTAAATTTTAATGGTCAAGTATTTCATATGCATTTTTTTAAAGGTGCAACGACCTTCTGTATCTAAGGATATACCATTAACGAACCAAAAATATGAGGGAGTAGAGAGAATGGAACATTCTCCACATTTGGGGGATCCAGAGAGAACACATAAAATGCCCCACACAAGTTTGAGGGAACAATGAGAAACGGCACTTGCCTTAAGCCATGGAGAGGAATGTAGGGAAAAGATCGTGCTCCACGTACATATTCTTGGGAACGCATAGAAATGAAAAAAGATTCACAGATTTGGAGGAATGCTAGAATGAAATATCCCCAAAATATTCGAGGGAACAAACAGAACGGCATATCCACCAAAAAGTATTCGATGAAACTAAGAGAACAGAACAAGCTTCTAAGATTTAACCACAACGAACGGAACACTCTTTCAGCCATAACGAGGAGTACGGAGAAACGAAACATTCGTGGGAACGATGAGAATAGCGCAACGCCCAAAAGTTCAATAGGAACAAACAGAACGGTACATGTTTCCAGAGTCCGTGTGAGTGTGGCAGCGGAATGGTTAGAACATGGAACCATG